GGCTGCCTTTTGTTATGGGCCTGGACCCTCTTTGTAAAGTCCCTGGAAGGACTTGAGCAGACCGAGGCCGTCCCTGGGATCCTGAAGGGCAGGCAGCCCTCTTCCTTACCTTCTGGCAAAAGCTCTCCTGAGGCCTCTTGAACTGAACCCTGGCTCATTTGGGGCACCTCCCTCTAAGCCGGTGGCTGCGAGAGAAAGCGTGCCCCCCCGTAACAGTATGGGGGGGGGTCCTTTCCCAGAGCCTGGATTCCGACCTGTCTGACGGCCCCATCACTGCCCAGGAATACCTGCAGGTGAAAAACGCCCTGGTGGCTTCGGAGGCGAAAATCCAGCAGCTTTTGAAGGTGAACGTCAACTTGAGCGATGAGCTGAGGACCATGCAGAAGAAGGTAGCCCTGCACTCCACAACCGGCCTGCCCTGCAGGGTTGCGCCAGGCCGCTTGAACAGAATCACCAGGGGTCTTTCTGGTGCAGTGACAAGGATGCCCCCCTAGAGCAGTGGTTTCCCCCTGCTGCCTCCATGCCGGCCCCCCTCGCGGGTGCAGTCCTGGGCTCTACGGGCTGGGGACGATGGGGAATGAAATACCACCCATCTAGAGGGTGACGTTTAGGGGGTTGGTGAGTGATTTAGCTTGGAACGGGATCCAAGTTCAGATTCCAGCTGCCTTTGGTATCCCGAGGGCAGGTGGGGCATGGTCGTCTCTGCTCTTCCCCTGCTCCTCCTCAGCCTCTTTTTACTCCCCTCCCCTCCCCTGAAAGGCCAGCCAAGCCTTGCCTCCTCCCTTCCTCCGGCTGGCAGGTTGTGGCCCTCTGGGGAGTTGGACCCAGCACTCCCCAGCTTTAATCCAATGGCTCTTGGACCGCTTCACAAACTTCCCAGGGCAGTGAGCAGATCGCCAGGCAGAGCCGGCAGCAGCTGCAGATTCCTTTGTTGGTGAAAAAGAGGAAACATGGCAGGTCCCCCCCCCCCCCTTGAGATGGGGAACTTCAGGAAGTGCTTTGGGGGCCCTTCGGGGTCTTTCCTCAGGCGCTCTGAGAAAGTGCACACCCTCCTCTCTGCTCCCTTTTTGCCAGGGGGAATGCAAGCACGGTACCTTGGTCCCACCCTTCGGGTGTTATTTTATGTATTTCAGATACACAGAGAGGGGAGGGGGTTGAGGAGGGGGCAGGACTGAGAAATCCACCCAAGTTGCAATTCCACATCCAAGCCAGAATCTGCCTTCCAAAGCAGCAGCCTTAGGAAACGGGATTCTGTTGCTTCCAGAGGGGAGAAAATGCGACCCAGCTCCCCACCTCCATTCTCTCCAGGGTTCTTTCCATTTCTCCTGCGATGTCGGTGGGAAGATGCCATGCCAGGGCTGTGGGCAGTTCCTTTCCTTCCCCTGAATATTAAGCCTTCGTTGTCATTTGTGTGTGAACTTGACGGGCAGAGCAGGGCCCTCTTGGCAGTTGGCAGCTCCAGTCATTTGCCTCCCTGCTGGGTCCTTCCGCTTGAAGGCATTATGGGAAACGGGTTGTGCACTGGGTTCCTTGTGCCGCTGAGCCTCCTGCTTTGGCCAGTAGCTTTCGTCTCGTTTCCTCCCTCACCCCGGCTGTGGCTTTGGCATTTCCACACTTCCCCTCGCTGTTCCACCCGGGCGTCCTTCACTCAAGAAATGTTGCTCAAGCCACCGTCTCTTGTCTCTTGGAGACTTTGTGGGACCCGCTGAGCCCCGCCTGGCCCTTGAAACGCAGCTGCCAAGCTCCCCTTTGTTCGGTTTGGAGGCCTGACTGTGGCCCTCTTTAAAAACAAAGCAGAGTGGGTGGGACGATTCTACATTCCCTTCCAGCTTCAGAGCCTGCAGAGCGAAAACACGAGCCTCCGACGGCAGGCCACCACCAACACCCACCCAGCTCCGGGGGGCTCCGAGTACGCAGACGTGCCCTCTGTTCGGCGCCCCTCCTTGCGCAGCAGCCGGCCCATGTCGATGTACGAGACGGGGTCCGCTCAGAAGCCCTACCTGCCACTAACCGAAGCCTCTTACCCCGAGGAGCGCATCGCTCCCCGGCTCCAGCTCTTCCATGTGAGTAGCACAGCTGCCCTGTTGCCGTCCAGCTCACCTCCTGTTTTCTCCGCAGCAACTGCTGACGCTCCTTTGCTTGGCACTCAGCCCTACCTGCGCTTTCCCCATTCGTGGCGGTGGGGGGTGGGGGTGGGGCGGGGGGCTCTGTGTAGAAAAGGCCCCTTATTCTCTTCCCTGCTGCCCCAGCTCAGGCAGCTCCCAGGCCCTCTGCCGAGTCCGGCCTCCAGACTCCCCAGCCCACAAAATCTGGGGATTCTCTGGTGGGGGGTGGCGGGGTTTCTTGGCAAGAGGCAGGACTTGGCTGCCATTTCCCTCTGGGGGAAGAGACTGGCAGCCCATGAGGGAAGAAAGAGGGCTTGGCTGCCTCTGGCTCGGTGGTGACTCCTCCGTTCCGTCTTTCCCGTCGTTTTCCCTCCCAGATGTCCCGGCTGGAGAAACAGAGCAGCTTGCCCGAGGGGGATTACGACAACACCGGCCCTGCTCTGGAGCTGGACGAGACGGGGTAAGGGCCGATGCTTAAGTGCCTGGGACCCTCGGTAATTTGTGGGCTGCAGCTGAAGAACTGCCTTGCGGTCTTCACATGCTGGCTTGAGCCAGAGGGAGCTGGGGTTTCTCTCTGTCCTTCCCGGGGAGGGCATGGAGCAGCCGGGGGCCCAGGGGAGCCAGTCTGGGGCTGCAGCACGTGCCTTTTGGCAGGCTCATCAGGAAGGCGAGGCAGCGCAGCGGCCTTGGGCCAGAGGGCAAGGACCTTGAGGCCCACCCCAGCCCCCCCCAGCTTCCCCAGCACCGAGGACGTGATTCGGAAGACGGAGCAGATCACCAAGAACATCCAGGAGCTGCTGAGGGCGGCTCAGGAGAGCAAGCACGAGAGGTGAGCCTGGGCGATCTGCGGTTTGGGATGGCTGGGAACAAGAAGGGCCCTTCCCGTGAAGATTCACCTGCCTTCTCTGCCCCCGGCAGCTACGTTCCCTGCTCGGAGAGGATCCATCTGGCCGTCACGGAGATGGCAGCTCTCTTTCCAAAAGTGAGTAACGCTCGTTTGGGAAGAAGGGAGGCCCGTAAACAGGAAACCATATTGGCCAAAACGTTCCCCGTTCCCCTTTTTTTCCAGAAGCCGCCGTCAGAGCTGGTGCGCACCCCGCTGCGGCTGCTGACCTCCAGCGCCTTCCGGCTGCACTCAGAGTGCGCGAAGGCCCTCCCGCCCGAGTCTTGCTCCACAGCTGACGTCCAGCTGGTCACCCAGCAGGTCATCCAGTGCGCCTACGACATTGCCAAGGCTGCCAAGCAGCTGGTCACCATCACCACCAAAGAGAATGCCAACTGAGCGGGCTCCGGCGCAGCCTTTGCGGTCACGCTGGAAACGGCTCAGGTTTTCAGGGGAAGCTCTTTTTTACAGGAATATTTAAAGCGGTGCGTTGCCATTTTTTTTAAAGGAAACTCAGTATTAAATTTTTTGCATGTTTTTCTAAGAAGACTTTTTCCCAGGATTGCCAAAATCCACTGCCTTATTTGGTGCTCCGTATTTGCCGGCATTGAGTGCTCGCGCTGGAAGCCTTCTTGAGTCAACCATCACATCACCAGCTTACAGGACTTTTTTGCTGTTGGGAGGAGGGGAGTTTGAATCCTGCACCCGTTGTGAACTCGGACGCCCAGAGCAGAATTCAGGGACCTGCCCCGTAATCCTGCTGTGCAGTTGCTTGGCACCATTGAACCACTAGAGAGCAACCTCTCGAGATACAGGGAATGGTCAAAAGGACACCCCACTTTCCAGCTTGGTCCGCCTGGGGCCACCCAGCCACAGGAGCAGTGGCTCCACTTGGAAGGAGAAGGAGCAGCCTCCCTCCCTCCGCCGGGGCCAAGGGGCAGCCCCTCCGCTCCAGAGGCCAACATCTGAGGAAGAGGGAGGCAGGTTTCTCCCTCCTCCCCGCACGGTTGGCTCCTCATGCTGGGTTTTCTGGAAAGTGCTTTTGCAAAATAACTATGCCTTGGGAGGCCTCGTGCCTTCCCCAATATGGAAAGCTCTCGTTATCTGCTCTTTTGTCTTTTTATTTTCTTTGGGAATTCCCTGCCTTTACCGATACGGACGCATGAGGGTCTTTTCTAGAGTGCATGCAGAAGGCCTGGCCAGGAAAGGGGACCCTGTGCAGGATGGGTGGCCAAGCCTGGTCAGCTGAGTGCCCAGCCACCCCACTGGCAGTTGGGAGTGTGTGAGGGAGGGGGAGTGTTCAGGCTGCCCCTTGTGCTGGCTTCCCCTCCTGCAGGCACTGCGCCTCTGTCGCCCCATCCCCGTCTGTTACAGCCCAGGAGGCCTCTGTGTGAAGTATGAAGAAAGCACACGGCCAAGGCACAATGGCCAGTCAATGCAAAAAACATTTTTGGGGGAGAAAGGAAAGGGTTTGGAAGGTCTGGGGTAGCTTCCCCATTGGTCATCCCCAGTCGGTGTGATTTGGAAGCTTCCAGGCAGATGCAGATGCTCGACCAAGAATGAGATGATAACAGGTGAGCAGCCAACAGGCTGAGGTTCCCCATCCATTTCATGGGCTGAGCTGCCGCTACCCCTTAGGACTCGCCTGCAGCCAGAGTCCCGGGCCTGGCTTGCTCAGGACCCCCTGCAAGAATGGGGGCACCAGCTGCTTTGCGGCTGTAGAGACAGACTCCCCACCTCCATTTTAAAGCCACAACTAAGTGAAGACTCTGTGGTGTGTATGTGTGTGTGTATAAAATATCCTGCTAGTGTGTGCATATGTAAATCTTACATGTATAAAAACCAAGTGCCATAATATTTTGAATGCTGATATTTCATTGGAGCTTTTTTTCTTTCTTTAAATGTACTATTTGGGGAAGGGCATGTGGAAGTGGTGGAACAGAAATAGAACTCTCTTTGGATTGCCCATTGCTATCAGCCTTTCTGGTCAGCACCAGGCCAGAGAAAACCAATTAAAAAAGAAAAAATAGCACTTTATTGACCCTCTAAGCACCCCGCCCATCGTCTTCCGTCCTGCTTTGGCAGGGGCAGCAGCCACCAGGTAGCAGCTGCTCCTTGGGGGTGGGGTGGGGGGGAAGGCAGAACCAGTCCACCCCTCTTCGCCTCCTAGCATCCCTGCTGGCTCCAAGCAGACTGTCGGTACTGCAGGAAGCAGCTGGCAAAGAGGTTCTCGGCCACCCAGACCCCGAATGCAGAATCTTCTTTAGCTCCAGGCAGCTTTGGGGTAGCTGTGGCACTAGGAGGAGGGCAGACGGAGGATGCCAGTCATGAGTCTGGTCTGACCTGTCAGCAGTTACATCAAATCCCCCCCCCCCGGAAAAGACCACTGAGGGGATACCCTCCCCGGGATGGCAGCCCTGAGCCCCAAGACCCATCCTCGCAGAGCAGCGCCCTTGAGGGCCATCCGGCCTGCAGCACTGTCAGTCCTAGGCTGGGGTGCCCTCGGGGCGGCAGTTCCCACCTTGTTGCGATAGCCGGCTTCCACCATGCGCCTGGCCTCCAGCTCCTCCAGCTGCTGGTGCTGCTCTTCTCGCACCCGGGCCTCTGTGGCTGCCTCCTGCTGGCGCTGGAGCTCCTCCTCTTGCTGCCGCTGCCGCTCCGTGAGCTGAAGGAGGAGAAGGTCAGCACGGAACGGGCCACCTCTCAACAGCCAAGCCAACCGCCGCCTGGCAAGGAATCCCCACCTGGGCCTGCAGCTCCTGCTTGCGGGCAGTTTTCCGCTCAACTGCCGCCTCTTGTTCCCGCTGCGTCAGCTGCCTGGCCTCTTCTAGCTGCTGGATCAGCTGCTCCCGGAACCTGACGGAGTCCTGCTGGGCCTGCCGGTTGTGCTCCATCTTCTGCTGGATCTGCTGCTCCCTCTCGGCCAGGACCTGTTTGGAGCCATGGACAGGATGGCTAAGCAGAGACCCGCCCCTCGTTTCGGAAGAGCAGTGTGCCTACACACACACACACACACACACACACACACACACACACCACACGGTGTGCTCACCTCTGCCATGAGCCTGTCCCGGGCCTTCCGCTCTCTCTCCCATTCTTCCTCTCGCTTCTCCCAAACCTGCCTGGCTTCCTCCCTGGGAGGGGCGAGGGAAAGAAAGGACAAGGGAGATGCCCGCTGCCCTGCAAAAGGCAGCGCCAATCCCCACTAGAACCTTCCTTGCAGCCAAAGGCACTCCCGTGTATGCCGAGGGTACCCAGCGTCTCTGACCCCCCACATTTCACCCAACTACAGTGGCCTTGGAGGTGAGGACCCTGGTTCCCCACTTGACCCCTCCACCTCAGCCCTCCCCTGCCGCTCCCTCACCTGAAGATGGTCTCCAGCTCCGCCTCTCGTTCTCTTTCCAGCTGCAGCTGCTCTTCAATGACCTCCTTCATCCAGGCGACTGCGGCCACGGCTTCTTCCCGCCGGGTGGACTTCAGGCGCTGGTCCTCCTCATCCTCGTTGGACAGGGCCAGGAGGATCTGCCTGTCCTTCTCCTGGAATCACAAAGCCACCGGAAGCCACCATGGCTTGTGCCCTGCAAAGAAGGGCCGCTACATCTCACATCGTTGGGGGAACGACTCCTGCAGGCAGGGTCCTTCCAGACCCCTTCAGCAGATGCCTCCTGTTCTGGGACAAGCTTACCAACTCTTCCTGGACCTGTTGAGCCCGTTTCCTCAGCTGCGCCTGGACCTGATGCTTCAGAAAGCGCCTGGGGAAAGACGGCATGAAATAAGTTGGCAGGCAACCCTGAGATCAACCTGGGCCAGCAGCCCCTGAAAAGGTTTGCCCTTCCCAGCAAAGCCTCCACCTTGGATCTGAGAGGAGCCCAAGACTGCAAAGCGCAGCAGGCTGGGCCTTGCAGCAGCTCCGATAATGGAATAAAAATGGAATTCTGGAAGAATAGACTGGGGGTGAGCGGCTCCCTCTACCAATTAACCCCTGTCGTGTTCTCAGTGTAGCCTCCTAGACAGGCCCTCATGCGTCTCTTGGAAACTCCACGTCTGGGCGGAGAAATTCCACAGCTGGACAATGGATTCTGCCCCCCTCTTTGCCTGCCCCCTCCTCCCAGAGCATCTGGAGAGAAGCTCCCCCCCACCCCGGTGACCTACCCAAGCTCCACCTTCTTCCGCTGCTCATCCTTCAGCTTCCGCTCAGCTTCCAGGGCTTGCAGCTCCCAATGCTGCTTCAGCAGGGTCTCCTCCTCCTCCTTCAGCTTGGTGGCCTGACAAGGGGAGCAAGAGTGAGGGCCAGAAGAATTCTCTCTGACCATGACCGTCTTGGCTTTCCACTCCTCTCCTCCCCCTCCCCCGAAAGCCAGGACAGACCAGGCATGGGGTAATGGGCCGAATGAGGGCAAGCGAGCCGAGGAATCCTAATAGAAAGCAGGTGATCTGCAGATCCAGAAATGGGACAGGCTGCCCTCCCCGCTTGATGCTCCGGGATGGGATCACTTAGAGGGCTCTCAGGGGATCCACCCTTTGCGCACCTCCACGTCCCGCAGCTGGAGCTCCGCCATCTGCTGCCGCAGGATCTCGGCCTGCTTCTCCTCCTCCCGCTTCCTGCGCTGCTCCTCCTGCTTCAGCCGCTCCAGGGCTTCTCTGCGGGCTCTCTCGTACTGGTTCTCAGAGCGGACTTTCTCTTCCTGATCGGCCGCTTCTCGCTCAATTGGGAGGAAAGCAAAGCAAGCATGAAGCTCCGTCCAACCTTCTCCTGGGCAGGTACAGAGGGGGCAGGTGCGCCTACCTGTTGCTTCAGCGCCAGCTGGTCCCCCCAGGCCTCCACCACCTGCTTCTTGTGCAGCTCCGAGCTCACCTGAAGTTCAGCAGAAACACTGCATCACAGTCTGGCCCTGGTGGGCACCGGCTCTCTTCTCTTTGTCCAACCCCCCCCCCCCCCGCAAGAGGCAGAGGCCCCCAGCCCGAAGGCTTCCCACCTCTCGGAGCTTCGCGCTGCTCTTCCTCCAGCAGTCGTAGAGACGATCTTCCGCCACCTGCGAGCCAAGCCCAGGGAGGAAAGGAATGCCACTCAGCCCCGTCGCCCAACCAGGGAGGCCCCCCACCCCAAGGAAAGCAGACCTGCTTCCGCCGCTCCTCCCTGGCCGAGCGCAGTTCCTGGCTCCGCTGCCGCTTCTCCTCCAGCTCGGCCTCCCCGCCGGTCCGCAGCCCCCGCAGCTCGGCCGCCAGACCCTCGCGCTCCCGCCACAGCAGCTCCCGCAGCCTCAGCCGCCGCCGCTCCAGGCCCGCCGCCGCCTCCGCCTTCAGCCGCTCCCGGCCGTGCGCCTCCATGCTGCGGAGGGAGAGGAGGAGGGAGGGAGGGAGGGAGACGTGGAGCCCCCCGCCGCCCCCTGCCCCCCCCCCGCCCCGACGACCCCTCCCCCCACGCTCACCTCTGCTGGAAGGAGCGGCGCGAGCTCCACTCGGCCTGTTTGCGGCTGCGCAGCCCGGACTGCTGGAAGGAGCGGCTGTGCAGCTCCCACTGCCGGCGCAGGCGGGCCTCCTGCTCCCGCCGCCGCACCAGCTGCTGCTCCAGGGCGCGGCTGCGGCTGCCCCAGAACGACGGGGCGGCCGGCACGGCCATGGCGGGGGGAGCCTGCCCGGGCAGGCGCGGTGACGTCACGCCGAGGCACAGTCGCGCGTCCTGACGTCACCCGCTACGCCGCTACGGGATGGTTCCGGCGCTCCCAAGCCGCGCTCGCCGCCTTCGAGGCCAGGCCCGCCGCTGCCTCCGCGCGAACTCCCAACGGCCCAGCTCCTTCCGGCGCCGCCGGGCGTCTCCATGGCAGCACTTCCCGTCTCTCTACGGGGGCCGCCCGGGGACAAGAGGCCTCGTATCGCGCGAGAGGGCGGAGCCGACCTGGGGCTCGCAGAGCTAAGAAAATGAAGAGGGGGCCTCCGGGTCTCAGCGCAGGCGGCTTCCGGGTACGCATCTCGTCCTCCGGTCCCGGGATCGACGGAGGCGCTGCCGCCGAAGCAGAAGAAGCGCCGGGGACGCCGCAGCGACGCCACGCCGGGAGCCCCTGGAACCGGGGGGGGGGGCTTCCGTTCCGCAAAGCCAGGAAAGCTTCACCACAGGCTCCACTTTGCCCCCCCGGCGCTCCGAGGTGGCCAGCCGGCCAGCCGCGCGTCCTTGATGGGGAGCCGGGGCCGATCCGAGCGGCGATGCCCGGGGGCCCCGAGGCTCTTCCCTTCGGCCGGACCTTGCAGGAGGCAGAGGCGCTCCTCCTTCCGGCCAGCCGGGCTGCGGGGAAGCCGAGTCGGCGCCGGCGCCCCCGGAGCTTCCCCTGAGCCGTCGAGGCGCGGGCAGCGCAAAAGCTTTCTGCACACGGGCAGGGGGGAGCCGGGCTCTCCTGGCGCCCGCGCCGCTCGCTTGCCGGCAGACTGCCCCTGCCCCTCCGCGGGAGGAGGCTGAGCTGCGGCCCGCCTCCCTCGGGGGCGGCGAGGCCGGGCTCCACCCCGACGAGAGCAGTTCTTCTGCCGACTCAGGCTGGCCCGGCGGGACGGCTGGGCTCCCGCCATGGCGCTGCTGCTGGAGTACGAGTTCCGGACGCTGCCGGCCGATAAGCAGATCGACACGGAGCCCTTCCTGGAGGCCGTGACGCACCTGCCGCCCTTCTTCGGTGAGTGGCCGCCCCGCAGCCCCGGGAGGGCAGCGCTGCTCAGAGATCGCGGCGGCGGCGGGCGATGGAGAGCGGACGGCATCAGCCTCCTGAGCCCGCTTCGGCCCCTGCGCTGCCGCTCTGAAGGGCTGGCCACGCTGCCTTGGCAGCCCCGGGCTTCTCCTCGCCCGCAGCCGAGCCCTGGCCAAGCTGGAGCCCCGGGGGCCACTTTCCCAGGGCCCTTTGAACCCCGTCCGTCCGTTCCCGGCTCTTGCTCGGAGGCCCCAGCGGAGGCCCCGGCCAGCCACCTGTCACGGCACTTTGCAAAGTGGCCGGTCTTCCCAGGTGCGCCAGCGGGCCAAAAGGGGGCAGCAGTTGCCAGCTCGGCTGAATTGCCACAGAGCCTTCGCAGACAAGGTGAAACTGAGGCTTTAGTGCTTAAATAAACGGAAGGGCAGAAATCCTCCAGCCCAGGAATCCCTTTTTCTTTCCAGTCACGTTTTCTTTTCTTTCACTCTCTTGAGGCGGAACTATGCTGGGGCTCCCTATGTATAAAACTTAAATTAAGCTCGGTCTTTCATGAAGGTCTGGGCTTTGGGGCATGTGCAGAGGGCCCTTGGGTTGCCTTTAAGACGCCCTGCCCTGCCCCAGAGTCTCTCACGCCCCAGGTTAGGTCTTGTCCCCATCTCTTTCCCCAATTCCCCTCATCAGCCTCCCCCTCCCCAGGGGCATCTTGCTCCCTGGCAGATCTGAACCCCAAAGCAGGCTGGGGGGTGGGGGGGGGTGCAGCCAAGATGCTTGTGGAAATGAGATCTCTGAGCTGTCAACTAAGGAGCGGCTTTCCTAATGGACGTAACTGACACCTCTAGAAATCCTGCCAGCTCTCCTCCTGTCCTTCTCTGCTTTCCCAACAACAAAGGTCTGGAAAGGCCAAACGAAGCACTTTCACTTGGGGAGGCCTGGGGGGGAGGGGAGGAGGCGTTCACCTCAAAACACAAGCAGGGTACCTTGGTGGGCTTACAGCGTGGAAGGGGGTCGGCTGAGCCTTTGCAAGGTTTACGTTAGTTCAGGGGGAGAGAGGAACAAAGTATCTGGAACTTGGGGGGGAGCACTCTGAGGATCCTGGGTGCCTGTGGGGGAAGCAAAGAGAGCCGCTGGGATTTCTCCCTTCCCTGCAACAGCCACTGTAGAAAAATGGACACTCCACGGATAGGGGCAGCCTACCAGGGAAGCCTGGGCACTGAGACTAGACAATGCTGCCTCATTCGGGGCCTCCTTAGATTGGCCCCCAAACTCCTTCATGAAGGGCCCCTTTAAGGCTTTTCTGGAGGCTCCAGTGGCCCCGCGAGACAGCAAGGAGTCCTTCCGTCCCCTGGTTCATGCGGAGCCAGACTCCGCATAAATGGTGAATGACTGATTAGCAAGTCAGGCTTGGCTCTGCCTAGCAAGCTGCCCCTGAATCCTTTTGGGCTTGTCGAGTTAGCCCCCCTCCCACAAAGCTGGATGGCGGGTTGCTCCCTTGATCTCGAAACCTGGGTGCCCACTGGGGGGGGGGGCTTTGCCAACCTCGCTAACGGCTGAGCGATCTTGAAACCAGGCTGCCTTTTCTGCTGGGGACGTGCTGGAGACGAGTGTCGGGAGCCAAGCCTGCTGCTTCCTCCGGCCAGACTCGCTGGCTGCTCGTCTCCCCACCACAAGTGGGAGAAGCGCGCAGGGCCTGCTGGGTGTGCCAGCCTCTCCCTTCTCTCTTGTGCAATCCCTAGGGGGTGGATTGCATCACTTGGGCGCCTTCACGCTGCGCAAGGCCTGAGCCGGTCTCTGTGCCTCCAGATGGGCTTAGCTAGCAAGGTCCCAGCCCCCAGACTGGAGGGGGCCACTGGGTTGGGTGTGGGAAGGAGCCGGGGCCTTGGCTTGCAGGCGGTGCTGAGTGGCTGCCGGGAGGCGCTCAGCCATTCCAGAAATCCAGGGGGAACAAGAAGAACAGGAACAACTGGGCTGCTGTGGGATCTGGAGGAACCGGCAGCCTTGCCCCGGGGGGGGGGGGGTTGTGTGGCGAAACAGGCGTCCCCAGAGCCCCCCCCTTCCAGAAATTAAGCTGCAACTTTGTTCTCCATCCCCCCCAAACCAACTCTGAGCAAGCGGACAAAGCCTGCTTTGAAAATCTCCTGGCTTCTTGCTGGCAAACTGGTTCGCTTGGCATTCGGGAAGCCCTGCTGCACCCCCCCCACCCCCCCACTTCCATGAAGCAAACCCTGAGCAGCCTCCTCGGGACTCTCCGTCCTTTGTTTGCTCAAGCAGAGGGTTGGGCTGGGAGGTTATTCGGTTTTATTCCAACCATTATCTGGCGCCTGCATGGCAACATGGTGACTCTGGGTGGCTAAGAATCCACAAAAGCCCACTGGAAACCCTCCATTAAAACATGTCAACTTGCATTAACGATACAATGTTTATGTGCCTGATAAACCATCTTAAAAGAAAAAAAGGAACCCTCCTCACACCCCACCTTCAGCACACCTCAAGGGAAAGGCATGTAGTCAAGCCCCCCCCCCCAAGGCTGACAGGATGGGGGGGCTGTTTTGAAGCCCCAAAGCCCCCCAGCCTCTTAGAGGAAGGGCTAAGAAAGGTGAGGTGTGTGTAAGGCTTAAAGGGGCCTATTTCTGACTCAGCAGCCTCCCTTCCTGTGGCTCCAGCCTCCCTGCAGTGTAGGTTAAGCCTAGGGGAGTAGGAGACGGCAAGATGGAAGGATGAGCTCTTAAAGGCCATCTAGCCCACCCCCAGGTCTGGCTGCCCAAGCACCACTTCCCCGGTTTTTTCCTGAGGATGCCCAGCTGGGATGAAATGCCTTTCCAGTGCTGAATTAAACCCTCCCATCATCCAGATTTCATCACTCGCCGTCTGAAGACGCTCCTTGCCCCCAGAGCATTCCAGGGGGTGGATGGGGCGGTTCCTCTTCCCTCCTGCCCTTGGCTGGGGCCCTTTTTCTATTTGAAGTGTCACCCCTGGTCCCCACCTCCGGGCCCTGGGCACCCCTTGGCAGGCTAGATCGGGGTCCCACCACTGCTGAATGCAGATGCCCCCCTGACCTTTGCTCTCTCCTCCGCAGATTGCCTGGGCACCCCACTTGTCTACGCCCCAGTGAAGGCGGATCTCTCCGGGAACATTAAGGTAGAGAAAGGGGCCGCTGGGTTTGAGCTGGGATCCACCCGCCGTGGGCTCTCTGTGGCTATGGTGGCTTGCAAATTAGGGCTCTCTGTGAGCCCAGCTCATGGGAAGAGCCCTGGAAAGGGCTGCGCGGAGCTTCGGCTCCATAAGAAGCAGGATCAGGGGGGCTGCTAATCAGAACGGGCCCCTGCACCCCCCCTCCCTCCCTCCCACCACCTGGACCCAAGCCACCCCCAGGTCAAATTTATGATTCTCTGCTGGTTCACTTTCAGAAAATACGGGCGGTTTACGAATCAAACCCAACCAAGTTCAAAACCCTTCAGAACATCTTGGAAGTGGAGAAGGAAATGCACGGGTCGGCTTGGCCGAAAGTGGGGGCCACCTTGGCCCTCATGTGGCTGAAGAGGTGAGGGGGTGACTGCATAAGCTGCCTCTGCTCCTGAGGGGTGGCTGGAGGACCTCACGGGGGCCCAGCTCAAGGAGGGAGGGCACTGGCAGCCTCTCAGAAGCTTTTCTCCTCCTCCCCCCGCCCCCCCAGGGGACTCAGGTTCATCCAGGCCCTGTTGCAGAGCCTTTGCGATGGGGAGCAGGACAAGGACAACCCCAATCTGATCCGCGTGAACGCCGTCAAAGCCTACGAGCTGGCCCTGAGGAAGTATCATGGCTGGATGCTGCAGAAGCTTTTCCTGGTGAGCCTCCGAGGGGGAGGGGGAGGAGGGGGCCACCAGCAGAGAGCCAGCCTGCCTGGGAAGGCTGGGGGAACCTGCGGGAGGGAGGCAACACCCCTGGACACCCCCTTCTTCAAAGACTTTGGGGGTCTTTAGGACTGGACGATTGTAGCTCTGGTCCTGCAGGTGGGATATTTGCAAGGCCGGCCGAAGGCAGAGAAGCCGAAGGGGCCGCCCCCTGACTCGCTTTCCTCCCCAGGGCTCCGTCTATGCTCTCCCCTACAAGTCAGACTTGCTGAAGGCCCTGGAGAAAGGCAAGGAGGTCAAGGAGGAAGAGACCTTTGAGAAGATCCACCAGTTCTTGTCCAAAGCAACACCCATCCTCGACACCATCTACGAGATGTACACAAAAATGAACGCGGAGCTGAGCTACAAAGCTTGACCAGGCCCTCCCCTCCTTTGCCTCCCCTCCCTCTGCTCTGCAGCCCAGCAAGTGCCTTCCAGCCCTCGAGGTCACCTATACAGAAGATCTGCAGCAGTTCTAGGAGGCTGAGCAGCCACGGAAAGGTTTCTCCACTCTGGCCCAGGCTGAGGGGCTTTGATGCTCTTTTGTGGCCTTTCTCTCGTGGCCTTTCTACTTCTAAGGACATAAAGGGGGGGCAGCAGCCCCTCCCTGCTCACTGGAAGGGAGAACCCGTCTTCCTCTGAGCTTTGGGCAGCGCACAGGAGACACCAGTTGCGCCCCAGGACTGACTAGTGCCCAAACGTCCCACGAGCCGTGCCAGGAGGGCGTGTAAAGCAGGGAAGCCTCATCTCGGGGAGCTTCACCCCTTGGGAGGCGGCTTCCTGGCAGTGGGGCCACGGTGGGCTTCCCTTGCTTTCTCCTGGGTGGCCTTTTAACTTCTCTGCCTCACCTGACAAGAGCAGCCGGACTTGAGTGACTTTTCGGCGCGACTCTTGGGGTGAACATCCATGCGGCCTCTTTGCACAACGGATTTCTTCAGGGAACTGACTCTGGCTTAAAACTTGCTGTCATTTTCTGGGGCATAAAAATTATGCCAAGCCTTAATGGTGTTGCTACTGCTTGATGCCTTCTGTGGATGGTTTTAGGAAACCCAACAGTTGAATTAAAATTTTATGAGAGAGACGTGCGATTTATTTTGGTTTGCCCAAAGAAGACTCGGTGGGAGGGGCAGCTAAACCACCCTGGCTGGGAATTATGGAGGTTGAGTGTGGGTGTTAGGAGCCAATATTTATGTAGATGAATATTGCTTTAATTAATGCACCCAAACTATTTTGAAAAGACCTTTTAGGGCAGCTTATTTGCAACTCCTGAAGGGAGAAGGACCTTCTCGGCTGGTCCTGTGGCACCCAGTAGACAGTGGGCATCTTGGGAAGGGTTGGGGGGTTTGCCCATCATGCTCACTTACTAGGCCAGCTGGACTCCCAGCTGGCATTTTTCAGAAGCTGGAATTTGCTGCATCACACCAGCAGTGGGCAGCCTTTCCTCACAGATGGACCAGCAGACAATTGGTGTTGGGGGGGGAGAATGACTCCGGCCACTTCATCCCCACCCAGGGAGGGAGGGGTCAGCAGATACAGCCCTCCCAAGTTTTGCAGAAGGAGAAAGAGTTTATAAGGGGGGAAAGGATCCCTTTGGGGATGAGGGGGCCATAGGGGGGGGGGGTGAGTCCTGGGATCAAAACAGCCCTCAGTCATATTCCTCTCCCCACTTTAGGGTGTCCAACCCACTGAACTCCAACAGAGTGTTGTCTCAAGGCCCCCCTAATTGCAGCCTCCCCCCATTTGCTTTTCAATTACCCCCCCACCCCATTAGCTCCTTGGCATTCCTGTCGTCCTTTGGTCAGGGGTGCAGCCCAGGCCTGTTCAGGCTGGCCGGAAAAATTCCTGCGTCCAGCATAAATCTAAGCCCTTGGCTGTTCCCAGCTAAAGCCATCAGCTCAGCGGGAGGGAGGGAGGGAGGGAGGGAGGGGCCAGCCGGTAGGCCCCGAGACCCAGCGGGGCTCTATAGTCAGGGAAGGAAGGTGGCCCTTCGCCCAAGGAGCCCAGAGGAAGAAGGTGGAAGGGCTGCAGTTTCCCACAACCCTCTGGGGCCTGGGCCTTTGGGGCCTGCAGCCATGTTCTGTCCAGCAATTCAGAGTGGCCAGGAAGATGCTCCCACTCATTGTGGCAGGGAGTTCCGTAGTTTCTTTGAAGAGATGCTTCCAGGCTCTCCTGTCCTTGGATTCTACACCTGCCAGAATCCTTCCTCTCTATTCGCTCCTCACAGAGGATGATTTTAAAGACCCCCCCTCCCCCCTTCAGTGTCGCAACTTCTACTCCTTGGGAGTCACAATCTCTTGCCAGCTTTCTGCCCACCTGCTTGCAAGTTTTTGGCAGAAAATCACTTTTTTGTGCCTTTAATAGCTTTATTATTTTTGTGAAAATAATAAAGCTATTAAAAGGCACTTTTTAGTCCCACCTGGGCTCCTCTTTGGCAAAAAAAAAAAGTTTTTGCCAGGTAACAGGCAGTTAAGAGCTGGGTGTGTGCACAAAACTTTTTGAAACATTTGCAGGAAGAGGAGAGCCTCATTCCACTCCTTCTTCGTTTTCCCACCTGCAGGCGATCTTTTCTGGGGCAGCCAGCAAGAGTTTGGTTTGGTTTGGGGGAGGGGATTTCCTTCCACAGGGGAGACTCTCAGCTGCCTCTGGGCTTGTCCTGAGGTCAAAGATTTCAGAGGGCGGAGAGGGGCCAGGGGAGCCATCCCTGAAAGCGGGAGGGGGGTTGCTCTTGTGAACACCTGGAACGTTCCAGCAAGTGCCCCCCCCGGGGACAGACGTGGGGGGGATCTGACGAGTGACGTCTCCGCAAGGATGGTCTGGCTAGCTCGGGGGCGCAAGAACTCCTTCGCTCCGCGGTGAGGGGAGGGGAGCGGGAGGTGGGTCGTTTCTCTTGCGCTCTGCAGTTGGGCTTCCTCTGCGCGGAGCCGGAGAAGAAGCTGCACTCGCGGGGGACCTGAAGCCAGAGCAGCCCGGGCGGCGCCGGGAGATTTTCGGCGGGTGAGACTGGAGACCCGGCGCTAAGGTGAGCAGGGCGCGTCCGGCAGGGGTGGAAGGGGCTGGGAGGGGGTCGGGAGGAGGAGGGGCGTGGCTCCGCCCCCCCCCCCGGCTCCCGCTGGACACGTCCAGGGAAGGCGGCTCCAGGAAGGGCCGTTTGGCTGCTGCTTCTGATTCTCAGGCCTTGACCTCTCCCTCCACTCTCCGGGACTCGAGCGCCCATAATCCCCAGCCAGGACAGCTAAAGGAGTCCAAAGAGACCCAGGCGGTTTCCTTCCAGAGCCCGACTGGGGGAAGCGCTGAGTTGAGCTGGGCTCCCCGGTGCCTCTGTAGCCTTTCGAGGTCAGAAGAAGAGAGATTAAACGGGGGCATTCAGCAAGGCGCAGCTTTGGGTCCTTGTGAGGCCACCTATCCGGACCAGCCTCGGAGGCCAGTGCCGGACTTTGGGGAGGTGGGATTCGCCTCCTTGCGGTGCCTTTCCCGGCGAGAACTGTTCGTTGCAGTCGGGGGCAGAGATTGAAGAGCTACCGCCGCCGCCGCCACTCAAACGGGCAACGTGGATTAAGAGAGCTTCCCCCGTGCGCCCCCCCCCCCCACCTCATAGTCCCGGAGCTGAAGGTGCCAGCCATGGGCTAGGTGAGCAAACCCCCCCCCCTTGGACTCTGGTCCTGCCGGCTTGGAAATGTGCTTTGTTCCTGACTAGCGACCGTCGGCACTTAAGAGCATAAATCAGATTCCTGTCCAGTTTCAGCTCCGATGCAGGCGAGTCCCCAACCCCCTGTCCCACTCGGAGATTTTTGCTCTGCCCTTCAGGGTCCCTTCCACTCCGGGTGGGGCAGAGGAATTACAGAAGGGAACTGGCTTGGCCCTGCAGGGACCCTTTTCTCTCCCCTATCAGGGATGGGCAGGATCGGAATTCACTCCCCGTGTTTTATGGAGTTGAACTCCTGCAGCTCCACAGATTCAGTTTTGGCTCTATCTTTGGGCGGGACAAATGGTCCAATTTTGCCGGTATTCCCCTTAACAGCACCACCTTTGAAGGTGGCAAGATGAATGCAGGGATGCAACAGCAGCTCTCTTCTGGAACATCTCCTTCAGACCATGTGCCTTCCCACCCACCCCCTCCAGAAACCGAAGGTGCCCAGGCTTTGGGCTCTGCTGGCTGACCTCCAGCCCTTTGGCCTGGGGGGGCTCTTCTCTCTCTCTCCAGGGCCCCACTGGAGCTGTTTGGGCATGTTGATTAATCCTTTGAGCTGTGAAATTCTCCAAACACTTAAGCTGCAGGGCCGCCAGGGCCCCCAACCCCCCCAAGACTGAGGAAACACATTTTGGAGAGGAGTCCTGTGCTCTGTGGACTCTGGCAGGGCGGAGACCCCAGCGCTGCCAGCGACACAACCACATTAGAGGACTTCCGGCCAAGTTCAGAAACATGCAGCTTCTCTCTGTCCCGGCTTGGTTGTCCCCAGCTGCCTCTGGGGCTGCAGGAGGAGCTGGGCTGGACCGCGCCTCCCTCTGCCTGGGGAGACAGGGGTTCCAGCCTGGATCCCCCTCCCCACCCCAGCCTTCCAGCACAGCAACACCCCCAATAAGACAAGGGTTCTTGTTTTGGAAGGGGGAGGCGGCCCTCTGAGCGAGGCCTCCCTCCCAATGGGGCTGGCAAGGAAGCTCCTTGTGGTGATGCTGCAAATGGAAGCTTTGGAAAGCTGTGGTGGGGCAACTCAATCGGTTCCCAAAATAGGGCTGGGGGAGGGGAGGGCCTCTCTTGCACACTGCCGCTTTTTGTTGTTAGTTGCGAAGTTGTGTCCGACCCATCGTGACCACCTTCCTCCAGGCCTTCCTGTCCTCTACCATCCCCCGGAGTCCATTTCAGCTCACGCCGACTGCTTCAGTGACTCCATCCAGCCACCTCGTTCTCTGCCATCGTCCCCTTCTTCTTCTTTTGCCCTCCATTGTTCCCAGCATTCGGCTCTTCTCCAGGAAGTCCTTCCTTCTCATCAGGTGGCCAAAGGATTTGAGTTTCCTCTTCAGGATCTGGCCTTCCAAAGAGCAGTCAGTCAGGGTTGATCTCCTCTAGGACTGACTGGTTTGATTGCCTTGCAGTCCGAGGGACTCGCAGGAGTCTTCTCCAGCACCAGAGTTCAAAGGCCTCCATTCTCTGGCCTTCTCAGCCTTCCTTATGGTCCAACTTTCACAGCCATCCATTGCAACTTGGAAAACCATAGCCCTGACTATATGCACTTTTGTGGGCAGGGTGATGTCTCTGCTTTTTAGATTTGCCATAGCTTCCCTCCCCAGGAGCAAGCCTCTTTTCATTTCTTGGCTGTAGTCCCCATCTGCCACTTTTGGGAGGAGCTAAAGGTTCAGGGAGCCCAGGGGGACCCCTGATTCCTTTAAAGCGCTCAAAAAAGGACCGGAGAAAATTCGTCGCCCATGGTGGCTCCTTGGGGGCTGGAATCCAAGGCAGGACGGGGAGGTTGGCATTTAACCAGGGGGGCTTCTCTTCCCTGAACTGATCCCATCCCCCCCAAACAATTGCCACATCTTGTGGTGAAGAGTTCCACCATTTAATTCTGTGGCCAGCGAAGGAGCTGCTGGGTGAAGACGGGCTGGCCAGAGAGCTGAGGGGGGCTGCCTGCCGGAGGAGGCCACCTTCTCTCTTGTTTGTCCAACTAGTGATTTGTAGTCCTTTGATCTTGGAGGAGGAGACCTCCCCCACCCACCCAGCAAATTCCTGCTCTGAATAACTTTGCCTGAGCTCTGCTCAACTCTTGACTTACTGGGCAGTGAGGAGCTGGTCAGCTTCCGAGGGGGGGGCGCGGGGGAAGTGGGGGGTGATATGCCTGAAGTTCTCATGACTTTCCACAACGCTTTGTTCCCCGCAAAGACTTTTACCATTCAGGCTGCTTGTGGGACTTGTGTTGTGACTTGGACACCAAAGAAACAACTTTAGTGAAGTTTCTATCGGTGGTCTCAGTCTCAAAGGATTTCCTGAATGCCTTAGACAAGCAGCTGCATCAGAACTGGGAGCTCCTCTGGCCCCACCCAACCCAACCAGCCTGCTATGGCTTGGCTTCCTCTTCTCCCAGTCTCTCCCCCCCCTTCCCCCCGCTTCCTTCCCAGTTGCTCTGGAACTCCCAGTTCCTAATTTATTCCTCAAAACTGCTGAAGTCCCTGCGGCTCTTCCTGAGCACCAAGTCTCCCTGCAAGTCTTGGCTCTGGAAATTAGGAAGAAGCCGAAGAGGCCGGAAGCCCATTGCTATAAAACACAATTGAGGATCCAAACTCACTGGGTGCTACGCCCAGGCCCCGGGCACAGCCAGCCTCCTCCCTGCTCAAGGACACTGAGGCTCTCCCCAATCCAGGGTGCTCAGTGGTCCCTCTTTCTGTAGGTGAGAAAGTGGGGGGCGCCGTCTCCTGAGGGTGAAGGCCTGGCAGGGGCTGGCTGGGATCTCTCTCTGGGCCAAGGAAGGGGAGCGGGTGCAGCCCCATACATGCACCGGGGTTCAGCCAGAAGGATTAACGGGAGCCTCGGGTTCATTTGCACACGTCACCATCCATCACTCCAAGTCGGGCTCTTCTGGAGAACGAGGGCTTCTCTCCTTTTCCTGGTTCAGCCTGGGAAAATTCTCAGGATTCGGCTTGACAGCTCCAGGGATGCCACTTCAAAGCAGGCAGGGCACCTCCTGGCCTCTGAGCAGGGAGCCGGGCTAAATCATTCTGCCTCGGGTTGCTTCGGCACGGCTTCCAGCGCCTGGTGCCCTCCAGGTGGCGTATCTGGGATTGCAACCCCCCCCCCAAAAGAAGTGCCCCGGCTGGTGAGAATGGGCGCCGCAAGAATGAGGCTTTTGGGAAAGGCGGTGGGGGCGTGTGGTCTCCTCTACAAGACTGCAGTGGAGCCCAGGAGGACGGCTGCTGGCGGCCCCTCCAGGAGTGCTGCATCTTCCTTCCCCCCCCCCCCGCCTGTCTGGATTTTGGGTGGGGTCCGGGCGAAGTTTCCAGGAGCAGTGAAAGCACTCCTTGTTCCTTGCTGGGCCGAGTCTGAAGTGAGCCGCGGGCCGGTGGCCAGTCTCTCAAAGGCCCCTCTGAGTAGCAAGCAGGCTGTGCCCCATGGGAGGGAGGGGCCATGTGGGTCAGGCACAGCAGCTCCCAGCCAGGACGGCCACATCTGGGAACAGTGTGTGGAGCTGCATCTCCACCCCAGCCACGGAGCCTTGATCCGGCTTTGCGGAGACAGAGCGCAGAGGTGGGTGGTCTTGGGGGGCGAGGGGGGAGGCAATGGAGCTCAGAGTCCCCAGCTTCTGTTGAGAAAGAAAACTCCGGCCCCCATTGCTCTGGGGCAGCTCAGGCTTGGAAAGGGCTTAAAGTAAGACCGGCCTTCCTGCTTTTCTTCCATTTCATTGGGGATGAAAGGTTTTAACAGAGAATTTGAAAGAAGCAGACCAGGCAGGGATGGTCTCTCCCGCCCCCTGAAGCTCCTGCAGCCGGCGTGGGGTGTGACCCTTTTCTAACCGACAGAATATTTCCAAAACTTCAGGCTTTCCATCGCGGCTAACTAGGGCATTTCCAGCGGGGTGGGGGGTCGAAAGAGGTGATCTCCAGTCAAAGCCAACAGAGTGACCAGCAGCAGGGGCCGAGGGTTGCAAGGCCACGTGTGCCACGGGCACCTCTTCCCCCTGCCTGGCCTCCGACCACGGCTCCTTTCCTCCACCAGACCACCCGGCCGTGCACGATGGCTGACCCAAAGAACACCCCCCAGGCTGGCCCCAGTGAGGCCACTGAGGCCCCGGCCGAGGAGTCCTCCCCGCAGGGCGATGCCTTCCCGCTCTCCTCCCTGGCCAACCTGTTTGAGGGCGAGGAGGGCTCTGGGCCTGGCGAGCCCCCCCGCAGCCCCCCCGGCTCAGGGGACGGCAAGCAGAACCTGCGGATGAAGTTCCACGGTGCCTTCCGGAAGGGGGTCCCCAACCCCATGGAGCTGCTGGAGTCCACCATCTACGAGTCCTCGGTGGTGCCGGGGCCCAAGAAAGCCCCCATGGACTCCCTCTTCGACTACGGCACCTACCGCCACCTCCCCAGTGACAACAAGCGCAGGCGGAAGAGGGTCCTGGAGTGAGTAGGGGGGCCCTGGGCCGCTTGGCGGGAGGGATGCAGATCTCCCTTCTGCTTAGTTGGGGGCTGCTGCCTCTCTCGAGCGCTGCTGAGCTGCCTTCTCCCCTGGCCCCTCCTCCAGGAAGAAGCGCCCCAGCACCAAGGGGCCCGCCCCCAACCCCCCACCCATACTCAAGATCTTCAACCGGCCCATCCTCTTCGACATCGTCTCCCGGGGGTCCCTGGATGGGCTGGACGGCCTCCTGCCTTTTCTGCTCGGCCACAAGAAGCGACTGACCGACGAGGAGTTCCGAGGTGAGTGAGGCAGGGGGGTGGGGGGGCTTGAGGCAGATGGGGGGGGGCAGAAAGGAGAGGGGCCCATCTCGGCCAAGAGATTTGGACCTCTGCGGATGCCACCAAGCACCACTGTAACCCCATTCAGCCCAGGTTTGGGGGCCCAAGGAAACCCCCAACCTGCTAGATCTAAGGAGGAAATGGGAACTTGCCCGTCTCTCTCTGCCCAGTGAGAAAAGTTGCTCCCCCCAGAAACCGCCTCTTCAGCAGACAGAAAAGCTAGAAACTCCTCCTAGGAGGAAGCGGCTGCTCCACATGTCCTAAAGTGCCGTGTGTGTGTGTGTGTGTGTGTGTGTGCGCGCGCGCGCGCGTGCGTGTGCCACAGCTGGTGGAGCAAAGGAGGAGGGCATGATGGCCGTGACATTCGTGGTTGTCAGCCCACTGTGGGGCAAAGGCAGCCTGGGAGCCCAGACGGGTGAGGACGCATTGATGCCGATGTTAGGATGGCCTCCCCTTCCTGGCCTGGCCTACCTCACAGAGTTGTTGTGAGGACAAATGGGGTAGTCTGGGGTTCCCAGGAAGAAAAAGGAGCCATCGGTGTAACAGAGGTGCCAATTTTGCCTGGTTCCAGAGCTCTCCACCGGCAAGACGTGTCTCCCCAAGGCCCTGTTGAACCTCAGTGGTGGCCGGAACGATACCATCCCTCTCCTGCTGGACATTGCCGAGAAAACGGGCAACATGCGGGAATTCATCAACGCTCCTTTCCGAGACGTCTACTACCGAGGTGAAGGTCCCTGGGCAGCTTCTTTCCCCAGTCAGTCCTCCCCCTCCCTTCCGGGTTCTTCTGTGTTTACCTGCCCCGCCCTCACAATCCCAGAATAAATGGCACGTTCTATGTGGGGCAGGGGCCATCTAAGACCAATGCCTGGGAAACAGCTGTGGGGTGAGGAGTTGGACCGGGCACTTTCATTAGTCAAGATCGGAGGATGCAATTCGATGCCCGTTTGAGCCTCAGTCTCAGGAGCACCAGGCTGAATGAGTTTCCGGCATGGAAATCCAAGGTCTCAGTGCGCTGAGCCACATCCTAGCAGGTCCTTGTTTCAGGCCTGTGGAACTTGGCAGGAAGTGCTCAGAGGGTCACAGCCTCGGGGGGCCACGAGAGGGGCAGGGAGCACTCGAAGGAGCAGTGAGGCTCTCCACAAACAGTTGTGCTTCTTCAGGCCAGACTGCCCTGCACATTGCGATTGAGCGACGGTGCAAGCACTACGTGGAGCTGCTGGTGGAGAAGGGGGCCGACGTGCATGCCCAGGCACGGGGCCGTTTCTTCCAGCCCAAAGACGAGGGTGGCTACTTCTACTTTGGTGAGTAAAGTTCACAGACTCTGGGAATGGCTGCAGGTCTCTCCTGGACGTCTTTCTCCTCGAGATTGGCCACTGATGTCCAAAGGGGTTGATGGGTCTCAATCTGCAGGGACCCTACAGTCCACCTGTGGGCCATGAGGACGACAAAGGGGAGAGGAGACCGCAGGGGGATAGGAGGAAGGCAGGCCAAGGGGGCTGCCTTACCTGGGTGGGGGAGAGCTTCTGAATGGATGGAAAATTGAGGGATCAAGTCACAGAAGGGATGTTGGCTCCCACAAGGGACAGAAGGGGGGTTTAAATTGGGCCCAAAAGATTGGAAGACCCTTGGATTTTCTGGGTATTCACTGCACATTTCCAAGCTGGTTTGGGGTGTCCTGGATGAGCCTTTGGAGACTTGGCACCTGCCCATTTCTCCACTTCTGTGCAGGGGAGCTGCCTCTCTCTCTGGCCGCCTGCACCAACCAGCCCCACATCGTCCAGTACCTGACGGAGAACGCCCACAAGCAGGCTGACCTCCGGCGGCAGGACTCGCGGGGCAACACGGTGCTCCACGCCTTGGTGGCCATTGCAGACAACACTCGCGAGAACACCAAGTTCGTCACCAAGATGTATGACCTGCTGCTCATCAAATGCGCCAAGTTGTTCCCGGACACCAACCTGGAAGCCCTGCTGAACAATGATGGCCTCTCGCCCCTCATGATGGCGGCTAAGACTGGAAAGATAGGGGTGAGACAGGGCCGGTGGGGGGCACCAAATTGAGGACTCACTCGAGAGTCTAAATCAGGTTGGCAGAGACTCCAGGGGTCCCGTTTGGGGACGTGAATCTGTCCCTGATCCCCCGGCTGCTTTGGCCAAGCGAGGTCCCCCTCCTCAGTTCATCAGAGCGATTTCCCCCCCCCCCCCCCCCCCCGGTCCCGCCCACCACCCGCCCGGAGGGAAAGGATGAGGAGGCGCGGCACCTCTCCCGCAAGTTCAGAGACTGGGCCTACGGGCCCGTCTACTCCTCCCTCTACGATCTGTCCTCCTTGGACACCTGTGGAGAGGAGGTGTCCGTGTTGGAGATCTTGGTCTACAATAGCAAGATTGAGGTGAGGCTGGCAGGAGACCCAAGGGGGCACCCTCAGTGGGAAGGCTCTGCCCGCTGACTCCTCACAGGGCGCTTGCCATCTCCTGCCCAGAACCGCCATGAGATGCTGGCCGTGGAGCCCATCAACGAGCTGCTGCGAGACAAGTGGCGCAAATTTGGGGCTGTCTCCTTCTACATCAGCGTCGTCTCCTACCTCTGCGCCATGGTTATCTTCACCTTGGTGGCCTACTACCGCCCCCTGGAGGGCACAGTGAGTACACCTCCCCCCTTGCTCCATTGCAAGAAGCCTGAGCGGCCGCAGGCAAGAACTGCAGCTCTGAGAGTCCCAGCCCGGTGCAACCTGACCCTCCCGTCCTCCAGAGGCTCTGCTTTCATCCTCCAAGACTGGGGCAGCCCTCAGCACCCTTCCTCTCCTTCCTCCCGCAGCCCCCGTACCCATATACAACCACCCCGGACTACCTTCGCCTGGCTGGAGAAATCGTCACCCTCTTCACAGGAGTCCTCTTTTTCTTCACCAATGTAAGTGCAGACGGGGAGGGGTCTTTCTCTCTCTCTCCCCTTCTCCAGCTCCCTTCACACTCCTCCTCCTTTCCCTGCATGCTGGAAGGTTGTGACTCTCCCTCTCCTTTCCTCCCCCCTCCCCAAAACCCTCCTTGCTTCTGAGCCTCCCCAGCCTTTTCAGCTCCTGTCATTTCCGGCTCAAATAGGATCTTTTTTCTCTCCTCCCCCAGATCAAGGATCTGTTCATGAAGAAATGCCCAGGGGTCAATTCCTTCTTCATCGATGGCTCCTTTCAGTTACTCTAGTGAGTGGAAGAGGGAACGTCAGCTCTGCGTCTGTTTGGGGTGGGGAGGCTTTTAACAGTGACTCCCCAAAGCCATAAACCCTCTAACGTGGCTGGCTGGAGAAGGTGCCTCCCCTTCAGGATCCTAAAGGGGACATTGTGGCTTTGGTTGTCTGTGTATTAACCTGCTCGCCCATCCTGACCTTCCACCACCTGCAGCTTCATCTATTCCGTCCTGGTCCTGGTTGCAGCTGCTCTCTACCTGGCTGGCATCGAGGCCTACCTGGCGGTCATGGTCTTCGCACTGGTGCTGGGCTGGATGAATGCCCTCTACTTCACCCGCGGCCTCAAGCTGACAGGCACTTACAGCATCATGATCCAGAAGGTGAGGGGGAGCAAGGCGCCCTTCCTTTGCCTTGGCGCGGTGGGTGAACCCAGCTGGGTTGCTCCAGGCGGCCCACAACTCACCACCACTGGTTTAGGGACCATTTGAAGTTAGCACAGGAGCGAAAAAAGTGACTCGCAAAACCATCCCAGCATCGCCACGATCACCGGATCAAAATTCTGGTCCCATGTGGTCATAAGTCGAGGACTACCTATATCCCAGCACAGCTTGAGGTCACAGTGGTGGAACTCACCTCCAGGTGCCCTTCTCTCTCTGCAGATCCTGTTCAAGGACCTTTTCCGCTTCCTCCTGGTTTACGTCCTCTTCATGATCGGCTATGCATCCGGTAAGCCCCTTGCCCTGCAAAGCCTGGCACTGGCCCTGCCAGGTGGGCCTCTGGCTCCCTTCCCCCGTGTGCCAGGAGGGAAGGTGCCGAGGGACCCGGCTAAAGGCTCCCCCCACCTCCGGCAGCGCTGGTCTCCCTGCTGAACCCCTGCCCCAGTGCCGAGTCCTGCCGCGGGGACCGCTCCAACTGCACGGCGCCCGCCTACCCCTCCTGCCGGGACAGCAAGACCTTCAGCACCTTCCTGCTGGACCTCTTCAAGCTGACCATCGGCATGGGGGACCTGGAGATGATCGAGAACGCCAAGTACCCGGGGGTCTTTGTCATCCTCCTGGTCACCTACATCATCCTCACTTTCGTCCTCCTGCTCAACATGCTGATTGCCCTCATGGGGGAGACGGTGGGGCAGGTCTCCAAGGAAAGCAAGAAGATCTGGAAGCTGCAGGTAGGCGGGCTTAGGTGGGCTCGGGAGCCCTGGAGGTGGGGGGCAGCGTGGCTCAGGCTCCCGTGTCTTCTCCATCACTAGTGGGCCACCACCATCCTGGACATCGAGCGCTCCTTCCCCGTGTTTGTCCGGAGGGCCTTCCGCTCGGGAGAGATGGTCACCGTGGGGAAGTCTCTGGATGGGGCGCCTGACCGGAGGTGGTGCTTCAGGTAGACACCCCAGAGTTCTGGCCATGCCCATCAACCCCATGGAGAATTGGGCCCCCAGTCCAGCTGTGCAGAATCGGCCCTTATTTATTCTTTTTGGTTCCCCCCAACTTTTGGAGGCACTGCAGATGGTCATGGGAGCCTCTCTGAACCCCTCTCCACATCTGGAGACCACCCAGCTCCTCTCCAAAGTTCTCTTAATGGTCTCTTAAAAGTCTCTTCTCCTGTTCTCTTCTGATCTGGAAGGGCTATGGGGCTGTGGGGCTCAGGAAGTGGCTGGCTGCGTCCAATGATCCTTTCTCCACATTGTAGAAGGGTGTAGAGACCCCAACTTGAGCCCCAGCAAAGAGTTCCCAAAACAGCCATTGATTGGGGGGCCCCGGGCAAGTGGATGCCATTTAAAGTACCCCCTGAGCCAAGAGATTCAGCTTGGCTTGCTTGCCCACTGATCTTTAGTCCTTCTGATCCGCCCCACCCTCTGCCCCTGGCATTTTGACCTGCTGTTTCCCTGGCAGAGTGGACGAGGTGAACTGGTCTCACTGGAATCAGAACCTGGGTATCATCAGTGAGGACCCTGGCAAGAACGACACCTACCAGTATTACGGCTTCTCCCACACTGTGGGGCGTCTGCGCAGAGGTGAGGGGGTGGTTGGGTGGCTTCTGCTCCTCACAGAGATGTCGGGGCTGCGGACTCTGTTGCTGCTGCTGCTGCTGTAGCGACACCCCCTTCTTTCTCTGGGGTGGTGCAGATCGCTGGTCAACGGTGGTGCCTCGTGTGGTGGAGCTGAACAAGACTTCTCAGCCGGACGAGGTGGTGGTGCCCCTGGACAGCATGTGCTCGGCGGGAGCAAAAGCGCACAAGCCCAGCTACCCTCACAGCTGGAGGAAGGAAGACGCTCAGATCTAAGGGCCAAGCAACCTCCGTACTCCGGGACAGCCTTTGTGGCCTCACGGGACCCCCTCGAACGGGGAACTTGATGGAGCCCCCTACTGTGTCCCACAGCTGGAAAGCTCAGCCAGCCTTCCACGAACCTGACTTTGAACGGGACAAGAGAGGTCCCGCCTCTCGCATTTTAAACAAAACGTGGCTTTTAAAAACAGTCCTATAAAGAGAAACTGGAAACCTGGTTTTAGGTTGCCACACTGCATCCCAAGGGCAACACTGGCCAGAAGTTGAGCTAGCTCAGGATCTGAGAATTTTGTCCTTACCGGAGGCTCCAAATGCTGAGCTTGAATGCCGGAGGATCCCACAAGGGCCTTTCCAGAGTGGCTCCTTTGAAGGGGCCACGTGCCCCGTTTTGTGTGAATTTCCTACAGGCCGAAAACACGCAGGCAGGCTCGCCTGGGGATTGTGAGTCTCCTCTGATAGTATTATTTTGCACAAGGTTTTATTGAATTATTTATTTAGTAATAAAATCCAAAGCATCTCTATCGTGCTCTATGCTTTTGAGGGGAGTTGTAATTCCCTTGCACTGCCCAGCTGGTCTTGACTGATTTCAGCAAAGCTACCGAGGTCGGGTCCCAGAACGCCTGCCTTCCCTTGCAGGTTGGGATCTGGGCCACAAGAGGGCAGCAAACCCCAACGGATCGCCTGCAGTTCTGCTCCTCTCCCAAGGTCAGGGACAGGCAGGCATTCAACAGATGGTGCATCCGCGGGTGGCCTGTACGGCTGCACCTGTCTGTGACGAAGGGCCAGAAGCCTACCTGGGGGGAGGGGGAGGGGGAGGAGGAGAGGCTCTTTCCGCCGAGCAGGTGAAAGAAACGCCCCTTCCCGGCAGCACCGCTGCAGCTGCCGCCTTGAGGAGCCTGGGCTTGGCGTGCCGGGGAAACGGGGTCGGCTGGGAAGGAGCTGCAGCAGCCCGCGCGGGAGCGCACCGGGGCCCGCCGACCCCGCGGGTTCCCTGCCGAACGACGGCGCGGCCTCGCGGAGCCTTTCGAAGGGCCGAGCGGTTCTTCTGCCTGCCGAGCAACGCAGGAGACGCCGAAACTTGCACGCCTGCCAGTCCAGCCCTGGGGGGGGGGGGGGCTCCCGAGCAGGGAACGGAGGCGGGGCGGGGGGGCCCCTGGCTAAGCCTGAACTCCCCGCCCGAAGGAGCGAGGCTGACCCGGCTCCCCAACTTCCCGAAAGACCGGCAGCCAGCAACCCCCCCTCCCCCCGGCCCCGCTTTTAAAAAACGGAATCTCTACCATTCGGCGTAGAACAGCGACCGCCACTGGGGAAGCCTTCGGAGGCAGGGCGTCTCCTCCTCCTCCTCCTCCTCCTCCGCCGCCGCCGCTTTGGCGAGCCAAGAAGTGCAAGGGGGCCGAGAAGCTGCCCCGCCCGCTCCTCCTCCTCCCCCCCTCCTGAAAAGCACCTTCAGCTGCTTTCAAAGCCAACGGCCCAGAAAGCCTCCTGGAAGGGAGGGGCTCCATCCCCCCCGAAAGAGGAAGGTCTGCTCTCCCCCCCCTTCTCCATGGGGCGCCCTCCTCCTTTCAGAGGGTCCTGACTTGCTCCCCCTTTCCACGGGGCTGGTTGTAGGAAGGGATCCAGGGGGCGAGAGCGGCACGCAAAGACAACCCAGAACACGGAGCCAGTGACAGCCCAGATTTAATGTCTTCGGAGGGGGGGAGGGGGGGGAGGGAAGAGAAAAAAGACAGACACTGGAGAGAAGGGTTCTGGGGGGTTTTTCCAAGCTTTTTGTTTTGTTTTGTTTTGTTTTCTCTCATTTTCAGAACAATACAGTGCAGAGAGCACTTCTCACAGTAGAATATAATGGTTGCTTTTTCGTATAAAAACACATTCTCAGTTTATTTGTAAATGCACTTAGTGCTGGAAAAGGTGGTGAAGGACACAGTACCTCTGCATTTGGAGCCCCCCCTCCTCTCCGTCTCTAACGGGGAAAATCTGAAATGCCTGCCAAGCAAGTCACCTGGCATCGAACCCCTAATTCCAGCAGGGCTTTTTCAGAAGCCGCCTTTCTTCCTCTTTTAAAGGCGGAAATTAAAGTATGCAAAACGCTAAGAGCCTCCCCCCCCACCTTAAGACAGGCTGCAGCTGAACACGCCGTAGGGCACTGGATGCTCCTGACTCCTGTAGAAGAACCCACCACTCATCCCTCGGAGGCTTCTAGGGCTCAGTCTGGGTAGGGAGAGGGGGGGGGGGGGGGGGGACGAGGGATGACCCTTTCCCAGGGGCTGGAATGGCCAATTCACACACGCACGCACACGCACACAGCTTGCCTTCCCACGCTTTCTGGCAGCCCATCTACGTCACTTCGGCCTGCAATGGCCACATCCCAGCTGGGGATGGGGGGGACCCAAGGGAATGACCCTTGACCCTTAGAGGATTTCGTTCCCCCCCCCAGGCCTTCTTGACCCAGGCATCTGCACCCAGGTGCTACAGAGGTGGATTCCAAGCAAGGATTAAAGTAAAAAGACCGGAGACCTTCCTCCTTTTCAACACTGCGCTTCTCTTCTGCAAAGGCCCATTCCCCTCCCCTTCTGGTCTTCCTGGTTCTCACACGCAGACAAGTAATGAAATGAAATACTGCTATTTAAAAATGAAATAATAATAATAATAATAATAATAATAATAATAATAATAATAATAATAAATGTTTTAATTCAGAAACCTCCTGGGGTTATGCTGATGTGATGGAGGGGTGGGAAAATCCATCTTATAGCAGCCAAAAACTGTACAGCAGGTTCAAACTAAAAAAAGTCACTTCAAGTTTTCAAGTGTTTTTTTCCTTCTTTAGACAAGCCTCCAGACCTTCGCCCCCACCCCAATTATTAGCTTTAAATCGAAACAGTGCAAGTTACAGACTTCATCTAGAAAGGAGGCAGAATCACTAAGCCCCCCTGGATTAATGGGAGGGGTCGGGGGGAGTCTGCACCCTTCCTTGCCCTCCCCCGGTCACGATGCATTTCAAATGCCCCCAGGCGTCACCCAGGGCAGAAAGAGGATGGGGGGGGGGGGCTTCCCAGGTAGTCCGGCTGGCAATGCCCGCAGGAAGGCATGCACCCGTTCTCATCCCACAGAGCACCCCCGGAATAGCAGCAAAATCTCCCTGTTCACATCCTTAGCCGTATGACCCCTTCCTGTGTCCCCACTGTGGGCAGCCTGGTCCGGGGGCGCCTCTGCCCTTATCTGTAGACGGGCAGGCGGATGTGGGCGTGCTGGTGGTCCAGGAGGCGGGGCACAGAGACCGTCTCGTAGCCCTTGCCCAGCATCTGCTCCTTGATGCAGGGTGGGTGAATGTCGTTGATCAGGTACTCCAGGGACTGCAGGCTGCTGCTGAGGATGGAGGTGTTGCACGCCGCCTTGCTGGGCAGGCTGGGCAGCCCGTCTGAGGGGGGCAGGCCCAGGTCCCGGGGCCCAGTGGGCAGCTCCTGGGCGTTGTAGCAGTCGCTGCTGTTGGGCGTAACCAAGACGCTGTTCCAAGCGGGGGTGAAGTACTGCCCCACCGAGAAATTCCCGTGCACACCCACACAGTTCAAGGGCGAAGAGCTCACTTTGTCCGCAGCGTTGGCACTGCTCACGGGGTAGGCACGCAAGAGCCCAGCACACACCTCGGGCGACTTGCTGACGGCCCCCCCGCTGCCCGCACTGTACATCCGCAGCGGCGGCTGCTTCTGCTGCCACAGCAGATAATCCATGCTGTCTGGGTAGAGACCCGGCTTGGGTCCCGCCAGGCCACTGCCCGGGTTGGAGCCGGTCACCAGCTCGGCGCCCTTCCGACAATCCGGCAACACGGCACCCGTGTAGGCCACTGCTGCCCCCACCGTAGCCATTGTAGTGAAGCTGCTCGCGGTGCCGTGCTTGGCCGGGCTGGGGTTGGCCACCAACACCCCCTGGCACATCTGCTGCCCAGCCTGAGCCTGGCACTGCTGATTGATCTGAAAAATGATGTTCTGGATGGAGGGCAGGTTGGCCTGGGGCAGCACCAAGCTCCGGCCGGCATGAGGGACGACCGAGGCGGCCACCGTGACGTTGGGAGGGACGGGCGCCTCCATCTGCTTCTGGCCACCAGGATAGCCGAGCTGGGCTGCGCAGGACGGCCCGGGTGCTAAAGTGCTCGTCACTGAGTAGGGGGCTACTGCCACGTGGGCAGGGGACATCTTAGTCCGCTTGCCCTCAGCACTCTTCACGGCCCCTTTGCCGGCGGATGCCTTCACGACGGCCAGGAGGCCCTGGTAGCTGCTGGCGTGCAGAGGGTAGGGGCTGTAGCGCTGGCCCATCGTGTCGTACCCGTTCACCGTCCGGTTAAGGTGCTTGTGCTGGGGGACCCTGATGTTGGTGGGGAAGATCTTGATGGTGAGAGGGTTGTTTGCCACCTTCTGTGCATAAGCGTCGAGCTCAGCTGGGCTGGGGTATCGCGGGGAACGGATGGGAGCCATGGCTTCACCTAGGAGAGACCAGGAAGATATGTGATATGCTGTAATGCCTGTAGTCACCCCTAGAGGTCACAAGAGCGCGCTCTGCACAATTAACGCTGACCGGGATGCTTCTTGCTTAAGCAGCCTTTCTCCATCGTAAGGAGGATGGACTTGTGGCTGGCTGAGGCATTCTGGGCACTGAAGTCCACCCATGCCTGCCAAGGGTTAAGAAACACTGAGTGAAAATAAAAGCTGGGTAATCCGTCCTCCCTGGGTAATCCAGGGACAGTGTTTTCTGCAGGCAAAGGACCCTCCGGAAAGCAAAACCAGCAAAGCCCATTTAGCTTCAATGCCTTCCCTTCCCCAATTCTGGGAGACAGAAGGGAAACCGCCAGACCTCGGCTCAGCTGAGAACACAGAGCAGTCTTTGCACGGTCCAGCTGCAGAATTCGCTCCTGGGAGTGAGGGCTGACGGTCCCAACTGCACGCCCTAGGAGTAAATTCTCATCAAATGGCCTCACTCTCTCCGCCAGCTCCAGCAACCCTATGATGTGGCTGGCCCCCCTCTTTTCTTCTCTGGTATTCTGCCCCTGCTTGTGGAGGCTCTTGTCGAGCACCAGAGTCACTCAAAACAATTCAACCAACACTGGGTTCCCCCTTCGCTTTGATCATTTCTAAAGGAAGCTAATTTGTCTTCATTCTTCCAAACAGATTCCGTGTTCTTAAAAGATCGTCCCACTGTCCTTTTTGGACTCCCAAGGTTGTTTATAGGAGGGCGGCAGCAATTCCTTACGGGAACAGTGGAAATGTCTCTTTACACCAAGGGGGGAAGGTGGGGGGAGGAAGCACGGCTCTGAAAGATTGGATTTAAACCATATTATACAAGCAATTTCATGGATGCTTTGTGGCACTATGAGCGCTCCGTTGGAAAAAAATAGAAAAAAATCCATTTACCAGCTATAAATCAGCACTTCTTATAATGAGCACAAAAATGTCACTTTTATGCAATTTTACAGATGAACAAAACTGGTGAAATTAACTGTGGTAACCTACTGTAGTCAGCAGAAGACGGCTCCGAGGAAGAGAACGGAGGGAGAGAGGGAGATTATATGGATTCTGCCTCTCTCAAACTCCTTTCTTGGGCTAGCTTCTGGTGTGAAAACTCATTTGTTGTTTCCATTATGCTTTCATTTGGAGTTTATCTTGAGTATCCAATGAGCCACCAACTGTGAAAATGATTAAATCTACAAAATCTATCTAATAGATTGAATAAATTAGGTGTCTGAAGAGGCTGCCTCTGAAAAGAGGGTCTTGCTGAGAAGAGGGGAAGGGTTTGGGGAAGATGCAAAGAATAAGGGAGAATTACACCCCCCACCCCCCATCCTTCTCCCAGTCTGTCACCCCAAACTCAGTTGGGAAAGATGGCAGCCAAAGAAAAAAGGTTGACTGAAAGTCCTATTTTTGCTCTGTGACAATCCCACCCTCGCCTTCGAAAGCAAGCTCAGAATAGCCTGTCTGCCACTTTCTAAAACCAAGCCAGGCTCCTTCTCGGCTCCTTCAAGGGTGGCAGAGATCTGCTTCAGAGGTAGTTTGCGATCATTAAAGAAAAAACACTAAAAAGTAAATACCAAAAGAATTCGCAAAGAGTCCAGGGAAATAAAACATGGCAAGAACCATCCAACTGTCTCAACGGAGGGGCAGGATTCAAGACCTGAAATGCCAAACATGTAAAATGTGTATTTCTCCAAGGTGGCAGGCTCTGGGAACGGAGGGAGGGGAGCCTCCAGATGACAGCCCTGCCGGTCTGCAGGCCAAAAGCTATTGGGGGGGGGGGTGGATGCCACGTGAGTGTCCTGCTGCAAGTCTGCACGCCCTGGCAAATACCGATTCCTTGGAAAGAGAGGCGTGAGGAAGTCCCCCGCGCTTGCCAACTCTCGGAGCCCTGTCCGTACGCCCACCCCTTTTGGGCGCCAAGGTAGTGCCCGCTTGTGCTGTGGCAGAAAAGCAACCGGTCTCTTCTCCCCTCCCTTCTCCGCCAGCAGCTACATTAAACGCAGCTCGAAGGACGAGGTTTTAATTGACTTAATAGCCTGGTTAATAACAAGGCTTATTCCAGACACCTGTAAAAAGCCCGTAACGTTAATGGAATGGGGGATGCCTGGCCAACGTAGCTTTTCAATGACTGCTGGCTTAATGGAAACCCGCGATTAAGGGGCGAGGCACTCAGCTGCTGGAGCAAAACACCCGTGTGCCCCCACATCCTTCTCAGGCAGAAAGGGGGCACCCGCAAAAGCCCAGTCAGGCTTCCGTTCCCCAATCCTGGCAAGTGAGGCGGAGGGGGATGCCATTCCCAGCCGATGGCCCCTCTGCGGTGCCTGCTGGGGGTGCCAAGGGCAATGCTTGGAGAAAGGGAGCCACGGGGCACGGAGCCCTGTCAGGACCCAGAAGGAGCAACTTGGGGGCTTCTGAAATCCTCTCCCAGCCAGGCAGGCAGAGGGCACTTCTGTGCTCCCGGCCGTGATGACCCTGCGGTCCTTGGGGAGGGGAATCCCTGCCAGCATTCTATGAACAGTGACACTAATGAGCCACTGACATGATGGCATCCCCAATGCCATGGCTCCTGGCAGGAGGGTTAGCAGGAGGGGAAACAGGAGTCCACGTGGAGAGAGAGAGGCCCCAGCCATCCTGCAGGGCCCATCTGCCCAATTCCCAACCCCCACCCCTTTTTGTGTCCTCAAAATCACAGTGCAGGTTGTCCGCAGCTTCCCTTGGCCGCCTTTGCCTTCCGGAGGGCAGAAATTGCCCCCCACAAACCCTCACAGATTGGAGGAGGAGGGAGACCGACTCTGTCACTGCCGAGCACAAGCAGAGACTGGATATGACAAGCCACAAATTCCCCATGTTGTCACCTCTTGGGGGAATGCTGAGCGCCCTGCTGTGAAAATGATAGAGGAACCAATTTCCGTGGGGCTCCCGGTGCGCTTCGGAGCTCGGCTGGCAAGCGTCCCTCCCTCCCCACAGTAATTACTGCTTTCGAACGGACCGTAATTGCTTTCCTTCACGGCACCTCGCCATTGTGCCACCACACACTTGCCCTGACAGGCTGCCACCGGCCTGCACCGCTGGCCTGTCCCTCGCTCTCCGCCACGCCAGGCGGCCACAGACAGGGCCTGCTCCCTGGCCCAGGGTGGGGGGGCTCTCCCCTTCTGCTCTCCCCTGCCCTCCAAGCTGGGCCTGGGGGCTTCCGGGAGAGGCTGGCTGGGCACCAGTGGCCAGAGTGCGGCCTCTAGCCTCCTTCTGGAACTGCCCAACTGGCTGCTGCTTCTTCTTCTTTTTTTTAGAATTACTCCATTTTTCAAAAACAAACACTCTCCTAATTCTGCTAATGCCACATGAGAAAACTGGTATGTTAGCGACCTGGTTTTGTCCTGCCTTTCAAAGGAAACCAGGAGTTTCAGTAGCTGAACCTGAAAAGCAACCGGGGCCCAAACAGGAGTGAAGAATTGTCAGAAAAAACCCTCAACCATTCAAAATCCTCAGTGGGTGTTAAAGCAGGGGTGAGACTGCGCCATATTTAATTTAGAATGTTTTTAACGCCTTTCATTAACAAGTATGCAGGCTTGTGTGGAATGGGGAGGAAGCAGGTCTGTGCACCTTTAAAGATTAAATACTTCTTTTTTAGGGGAAAAAGTCATTTCATAAGCCCATTAACCTAGAAAAAGCTTGTGTTAAGACCCAATTTAATCCATTCTAATTAAAGTGATACCTATTTTAAAAGTACATTGAAGTGACCTGCAGTGCAAAGTTACCGAGCTCAAAGCCATCCAGAATCCTCCAAACTGTCTGTTTACTGAAGCTTCTTTTGTTTCAACTTAAGTATCTTATTCTGCAATTTGCCTTTTCTTTCTGTCAACTGCTTTGAGGCCTTCAGCAAGGAAAATGCAAGAGTAACATTATATATATATTTAGAAATTGTATTTCTCATCTTTCAGGAAGCTAAACCTCCCTGGAAAAATATCAGAGGAGAAGACAGGCAGGCGTTTCATTTCCTCCATCAGCTCCTCCTGTCTCCATTTCATCTCATCTCCTCGTATTTTTCAGGGTGGAAGGGGGAAAAAAGATCCCCAAATCCCCGTCAGGAGCAAAAATTTCCTCTCCGTCTTGCAAGCTGTTCAATTTCCCTGACTTTGCATTCAATAACAGCTAAATAATTGAATCATCCCGGCTGCCGAAGATAGGCTTTGAATTTTATTAGAATTTTAAATTGTTTTGTTTCTTCAGTATTTTATTACAGTAAATGGAAAAATGCACGGCCCAGGATAATCATCTGATGGCTTTTGATATTATTCGGAGCTGGGAGCACATCCGGGACGCTGAGTTGGAGCCACCAGGACGGCTGATGAGATTAGCTCTGAAACAGAAGGACTTTCGGCTCACCCAAATTGGCCAACAGATGGGGGGGAGGGGGGAACCCAGGTCCAGCCCTGGGAAATTGGTCTGGACTGGAGGGAGGGGCTGGCTGGACCCTCCCCAACGGCCAGGGATCCTGCAGATTCTCATCGCAAAGGATGGAGCAGCCTGAAGCTGTAGCGATGGCTCCATCACTGGAGGCTTGCAAAAGATTAGACAGACATTTGACCAGGATGGACCCGGGTGGTCAACTCTGGAAACTCTGGTTTAGAGAATCTGCAGAATCAAGAGTGCCCAAGGCCGTGCAAATTTCCACCAGCATGAACACTTATCCTGGCTACTGAGATACACACCCACTTTCTGTCCTGGCATGCTATGCTCATCCATCGGCCGTGCTTTGCACACCCAGTTAGGGGTGAGAAAAGTGAACTTGGGCGAAGGAGGACAGAGCTGGCCAAGTTCACCGCCTCTGGTCTTTTTTTCACCTTTTCCAATTAGGTAAATATCCTGTCCGTAGCCCGGAGATGTAATGTAATAGCAAGGAACTGAGAAAAATCTGAGAAAAATGACCCTCTCTTTGGCAGATGTTTTGTGGGGGTCCAAAGGAGGCCCCCACCCCAAAGAAGAGGGAGGGGAGGATTCCTGAAACACGGAAGAGGGGAATCTGCTTGAAAGCAAAGCCACCTTGCGAATCCCTCCCTGGGAGGCCCCCACCCGTATTCCTCTGCCAAGTGGAAATCAAATTCGTATTTGCACAATTGGCAAGTGGCACCAACTCAGAGCAAACCAGCTGAAATAGACAGGAATCTCCACTGAGAAACTATTAAATATGGATTTTTTTGCTCCTGAATTAACAGATTTTCCAATACTCCCTGAATACCAAGCAGGGCCTCTGCCAAAGCCAGGCCTTGCCACGCTGCCCGAGGAAAGCAAGCTTGCATTTCTACCCAAGACACTTAAAGGTTCCTAGAAGGCCCGCGGAATGGTTTCACTCGGATGAATCACCCTCCGCCTCGGCTGGCCCCACACGTGGCTGTCAGCTGCTCGGAATTTAATGCCGAGTTTATAAAAAGTCTGGCAAGAGAAGAGACCGAGGTTGGCACTGCTCAGCCGCCGAAGGACAGATGGCACCTACGGCAAACTCATTGCGTTGGGAGAGTCCAGGGCAAAATGGGGGTGACAAAATGCGTCACAGAAAGAGCCGGAGCTCCTTTGGAGGTGCAGCTTGGCTGCTTTGCAGGCTCCAAGGGCACCAGGTCCCTTCAAGAGGGGAAGGATCCAGCAAATACACCCCCCGAGGAAACAACCCCCCCCGTTTTTTATGCCCCAGAAACTGTCCTGTGTAACAAACAAATGGCCTTTGGCTTGCCCAACCCACAAGGCGGCCTGTGGCCTGGTGCTCATCCCTCTTCCTGGAAGTGACATGCCGTGGATATGGTTCTCAAAAGTGGAGGTTCCTTCTGGAAAGTCCCTGCTCCCCTTTGGAGGAGCAACTGCAGGTGGGCTGCAGAAGGGCACTGGACAGGCAGGGAGAAAGCAGGTGGGGGCCGGCTGGCCAAGAGACCCTAAGCATCTCAGCCCCAAGGGCAGCCCCCTTCAGCCTTTTCATCCACGGGGAGCTTTGCAGGCCAGCCCAGCTCCCTAAGCCTCCCCCTTCTCCCCTGGGAAACATTTATCACTACTGTTCCTTTATTTGACTTACTCGCTGCTTTTCTGCTTAATAGCAGCCAAAGGGACACGCAGCAGCCTGAGTTGTGCTTACTCACAAATAAAAGCAATGAAGCACCGACTTCTCAGGGTTGAGCCCCCCTCCCACTTAAGCGATGGTTGCATGTTACTCCCCAGGGCACAGGCGGAAAGGGTGCAAGCCAGGAGCCGTGGGGTCCCCGGCAGGAGGCGGCTGCAGCCTGTCCACAGGGCCTCCTTGGCTGGAACGGCTTTTCTGAATAGCCCAGAGATCCTCCTGTTTATTGCAACGGCCAGGCCCCTGGGAATTCCCAGGAGGGAACGATTCATTCTTACCGCCCACCCCGATTTGTGGCAGGAGCAGAGCAGAGCGGGCAGGCTGGTGCTTTGCTTAAGGGCACAATCTCCACTGGCTGGTGCCCACCGCCTGCCTCCCCCCATAGATGCACCAGCCAGCTGGGTGCTCAGGGTGAGGCCCTCCCTCGCCTCACAGGGCAACCCAGCTATTAAAGGAGGAGCTCAGCCACACAGGCACTTCTGAAGTTGATTAGTCGAGGCTTGCAGTGGGTTCACCCAGTGGAGGAGGAGGAGGAGGAGGAGGAGGAGGAGGAGGAGGGAGGCTGCTTCGCTCTGAGCCACTAAAAAGTAAAACGCTTAGTTTGCGCTGTGACAAGTGGAAGAAACAGGGCTGTGTTTGCATCACAATGGGACAGATTGTGCTTTGTTTGCCCACAAAGAAAGTGGTTGTGCTTTGGTGAAGACGCTTGTCCGTATGCACTAATTCAATTAAGGGAGGATTATGCGGCTCTGCCCTCTTCCCCGGGACCATCATCGCCCGGACTCTGAGAGGAAGATGGGATCTAAGGTCAAAGGAGTCAAGTCAGGGACACGGTTGATAGGAGGGGTCCTTGGAGCTCTCTGAGCTGGGTGGTTTTCTTGCAGGCGTTTCAGGACCCAAACTAGGGAACATCCTCACAAGTCTGTCAGAAAACCACCCAGCTCAGAGAGCCCCAAGGACCCCTTCCTCCTCCTCCTCCTCCCTCTCTTCTAGCACTGATGCTGTTACCTAGCTTGGTAATGAAACGTCTGCGAGAAAACCACCCAGCTCAGAGAGTAGCAAGGAGCCCTCATTTCAGCCCTGAGCTGCAAATATTTCCCTCTATTGACACCTGTTTAGGACCTTCTGTCTCATGAGCAGTCAAGCATTTGATTACTACCTTTGGGGACCTGCATAAGAATTTGAGGGCCCGTTTCTCCTACATCCATCCAGATGCTCTGTGGGCATTTCTTGGGCAGAATGCATGAGAGAGCATTGATGCTCTGGGCCACCCCACAACTGCCGGCACCACTCCTGGCACTTCTCCTTAAACTCTTTTCATTTTTGCAATCCGGTCTCAAAATCCCCCAGCTTTTCCTGGGTTTGGGGAGCTCCAGTTCTCAGGACAGGGGGGCTGCCCGGCAGGGCCCTGGCTGGGCAGCTCTGGAAAGGTGCTGTGCCCCTCACGGGCCTGGCTTGGAAAGAAGCTGCTGGCCTTCCCCCTCCCCCGTCTCTGCCAGGCACTTGGGCAGTGGGTGAAGGGTGCCCACCGGAGAGCACCCGTCTTCTCACCAACCTGCTAAGGAACCATGCCAGCCGGGTTGCTCTGGGCAAAGCTGTGTGTGCCAGAAAGCGAGGGGAGGGGTCTGGAAAAGCCTGTGGGGGGGGAACGTCACTCTCTTCTGTAGCTCCAGCACAGGCAGCAGGGCAAATATTATTAGCAGGCACACCTTTGATGCAAAATTAATACCGAAATTAATCAACGGCCCGGGTGCGTAATAGGATTCTGCAGCCGTGGCAGGCCGTGCTGGGCGGCCGACTTATTTCATGCTGACGGAAAGGAAGCCAGAGGACATGAAATAAGGCCCATAAAGATAATTACCGAGATACTTGGGAGCAAATTAAGTAATCAGAGGCGCTTCTAAATCATGTCTAGTTTTAAGAAGCGCTATCGTTCCTGATTACTGAGAGAGCAATCTGGAAGGACAGGACAAAAACAGACACCCCCCCTTTTCCTCAATGCCCCCAGGCTAAGGCAAAGCCCCCCCCCAACTTCCCCACTGGCCCCCTATGTGCCCCTTGGCGCAGCTTCTCCTCTGTGGGTGGAACAAACAGCTAAGGGGAACAACTGCCTTGGCAAGGAGATGCCCAGGGTGGGGGCTCCCTGACCCTTAATTGGGGGGGGGGAGGCAAGTGAGGGGAGGGTGAGAGAGATCTGATTTCCCTCTTACTAAGTAAATCCACCCAAACAAACTCAGCCTGTGCCCAGTTAAAACTCAGGCTAAGTAAGATTGGAAGCCTGAAAGTTTATTGGTATTATGATGACGATGATTGTCGTTATTCTGCTATTTTGCACGGACACCGAGAGCTTCTGCATCGGAGACAAATTCCTTGTGCGTCTAATAACACTTGGCCAAATCAAGTATTCAATTCAAATCCTCCTCTCCAGCATTAAACAAATGAAAACAGGCAGAAGGACAACCGGTAAAGTCTCCCTTGGAAAAACCCAGCCTGGCCCTCCTGGCAAGGAGAAATTGGTGCCAGGCGGAGAGAAGGCTGGGGTAGCACAAGGTCCGCAGAGGATCAGTGCCAGCCGGGGGCACGGAAAGCCATTTTCTAAAGCTCTTAAGAAAGAGGCCGGCCTGATCTCCGGCCGCTTCTGATTCTTCAGCCTCTTCCTTCTTCAATGGCAGAATTGCTCAGCCACGGAAGGCAGGGAAAATGGGGCCTAGCCCCTGCAGCCACCCCACCCCAGCCCAGCCCGGGTCCTTGCACTTAGGAAGCGCTGGCAGAAAGGAGAACCATCATGGAAAAAACAACCACCACCCTCCCGCTTAAAACACACAATAATCCCTTGAGACTCTTAATGTGCCTCCGCAGCCAAAAAGGTCAACACTGCCTGCCTAAGCCGGGCTCATTACCTACACATTTAATCACAGCTTTGGATTGAGAGACGAGGGACAGGGGCTTTGCTGGGTGACCTTTGGGGACCCACTTTAAGGTAACTCCTTTACGGCTTCTGCAAAAAGGCCGCCTCCTCTCAGCCGCAGAAAGCCTGATGGGCCTGATGGGGAATTAGAGGGGAGGGTAGATGGCCTAACAGTGCCCCCACCCACCATGGCACTCATGCCAAGAGCCTCTTCCTCTGCCAGGGACCACCACTCCAAGACAAGGGAGGGGGGCTGCCTCTGCTGCAAACAGCTGGACCGGCTCCTTTGCCACCAGCCTAGAGCGACTCACCCTTGCGTGGCTCCGGGGCCTTATTCGGACAACCCAGAGGCTGCCTCGGTGGGTTCTGGGTCCTCTGCAGGCAGGCCAACATGGCGGAAGAGAGGGCGAGACGGCTCTGGTGGCATCACTCCAGAAGACCCTGCAAGGAATCCCAGAGAAGAGGAAGGGGGTCAGTCCATCAGCCAGAAATTGGGAGGGGGGACCCCTCCGCCAGCATCACACATCGCCAGGGAAGAAAGTTTCATGCAGGGTTTCAGCTTCACAGGGTGCTGTGCACATCGGACAAGCAAAGATTCTACCAACCATCAACATTTCCAAGCTTCTTGACCAGTTTCACAACCTTGTTTACTTTAACATGGATGCACCCCCAGATTTCCCCAGCCAGCGTGGCAAAGCCAGGCAATCAGCTTCCCTTAAGGGCAGCAGGCACCCAAGTGCCAGGAGGACGTGGCAGAGAGGTCTTGTCCTCGACCGACGGCTGCATTGAGACAATTTTAGGGCAGGGACTGTGTTCGAGAGCAGCCCAGCAAGAGCTCCCACACCTGCCAAGGTGAGCAACTCGGGAGGGGCATCGAGGGTCCCTCCAAGAAGCCCCACAGTTTGCAAGTGAAATTAAAAAACGGAGACCCGTTGGAGAAAAAACAACCGACAGGAGTTCTCTCTCTCTCTCTCTCTCTCTCGGCTGCTACGGGATTTCTGGCCCCCGGGCATGTTCTCCCTTCAGTCCCAATCAAGATGGGGCATCCACTCTGTCGCCTCGGACTGGAGTGAACTGGTTACTGGTTCTGTCAGAGCGATTTTTTCACCCGGGTGTCCTTCTTTCTCCCTGCACACAATGGACAGCACGGGGGGAGGAGCTTTGAAGGCCCCCTGGCTGCTAAATGAGCAAAGGGGACACCAGCAAGCGGGTCCTTCCTGGCTGTCACCCAGGAGGGGCATCTTGGCACAGGGAAGGAGTCCAGGCGATCCTTTCCTGGAGCTCCAGAAGCTGCTTTGGCCAGAAATCTGAAAATGACGGACGTGGCTTCTCACCATCGGAGAACGGAGCTGCCTAAATCTTCAACCCTCCTTCCTCAGCCGGAGGGAGGGAAAACTTTTCCATGTCCAGCCAGAGGGTCTCATCCGCTCTGGTCCTCACAGCATCCCTGCCTCCCAAAAGACGCCACCGGCCCCTCCGGCTTCACCCGGGGCCTCTGCCCAGCCGCCATGCCTCCCCACGGAAGCAGATCTGGCTCCCCAGGGTTTGCACGCCCCACGGAGGGGGCTAGAGGCAAGCAAGGCTTCTCGCCAGGGAGCCGAGGTGGCGGCCGGAGGAACCCAAAACATCCGCTGCTGCTGCTGCTGCTCCTGTTGAACATGCGCCTGGAGTTGCCAAGCTCCTGTTCCTGGTACTCATGCAGCATTCAGGAATAAAAGCCCTTTTCACTATCTCTCTTAAGATGCTAATTTCACCACAAGAGTTCGTTACTACATAATTATCTCAATCTAGGTTCCCCCCCCCCATCTGTACCAGCCTTTCTCTAAAAGAGAGAGAGGGAGAAGAAAAGAAAACCAAAATCTGAGGCACTTTTCATCATCACCAGCTATTTTATTTTCCATGAAGATACCTTGAAAGAAGCGATTTTTACTCTGAAAGGACTTTTATTCTGTCTCGCAGCCAATTTTCGCCTATTACTGTCTGCAAGAGAAATGAGAGGCCAGAAAAACGGGCCTCGATTCCCCTTCCATGCAAGAGCCGGGGGTCCATTTCCTGGCCTTCCTCTCTAGCAGTTTCATTCAAGGGGAGCGGTCCAAACAAAGCGAGGGGCTGCAGGGGAGCAGGCCCAGCCCCCCCCCCCAGAAGGGCCCACAGCCCTTCACCATCACATCCTCCACTGGGGTTGGCTCTGAGCAGGGAAGAGGCCAAGACCCTCTTGGCAAGATCTGGGGCTGGCTCCTAGCCGCCCCCCCCCCCCCGAGCAGGGCAAGAGAGAACCTTCGCATGAGAGAGAGAGCGATCTCGGGTTCAAGGCCTTCAAGACCAGGCAGGGCAAAGCCCGTAAGGTTGGCTTAGAAGATCTGGGCCCTTCTGCACTCACGGGTCTCTTTGTGCCTGGCTGCCTTGTGAGGTTGGATGGATGCAAGTGCTTACTGCAGCTGAGACCCCCCCCCTCTGCCACAGGGCCTCCTTGAAGCCCCCGGGTGTGTGCAGGGCTGTGTCAGCTGCTCTGCCCGTCTTAAGAGGGATTGGCCATCTGGGCCTCCAGCCTCAGCTTCCTGCCCTGGCTTCTCCTCCTGGCACTTGAGGTTAATCCTGCAGGCAGATCCACAGCCCCCCCCCCCTCCAAGGAGCCGCTCAGGGATTTGGACCGCCAGGCACCTTCCCACTCCGGGAGGGGCTCCTGCCCAGGCCAGGTGGCAGGAGCTTCACCTGGCAGGGGCACAAGGAACGGCTCCAGAACTGCCAAGAGGAAAAACTTTCTTTCTTTGAGAGCTGCTCTCTGTCGGAAACATCCACCTACCGAAGCGAAGCCAAATTCTGGCGTATTCGGCCTCTTTCTCCAAAGCCCTGAGGTGCAACCCGTTTTGAACCCAACCCGCCTGCAAATCTCCCCAGCTTATTGGCTAATCTGCCGTGATGTCATGGAGCTCAGCAAAAAAAGTTTTGGCTTACTTAGCTCCCTCAGCATTTGAGTTAAATCCCAGGTGTCCTGGATTCCATTGCCAGCCGGATCCGTGGAGAGCTCGGCCGGGCTCAGCAGTTTGGCCCATCTGCCAATGACTCCATCCCTGGTTGAGGACAGCTGGCTACTCGCCCCTCCTATTCTCTCCGCCTTCGAAAGGGCCCTCCCGGCTAGAGAAGGAGCTCCCGCTTGCAGGATTGGGCCCGGCCCTGCCGCTCTCACCTCCTTGCTCCGAGAACAGGGCAAGACGTCCATCCATTGCAGAGCCTTTAAAAATAGCTGCCTTCTCGAAGTCATGAGAACAGCCCCTCCCTTTCGGATATAAGTGCCCCTTTCACAGCCTTTTCTCTAACGCCTGCTGGTTTTGAAAGGCTGCCGTGAGAATCAGGGCTATTTATAAGCCCAAGGTCCCTGCTACTTCAATAAACCCCACCCCAAAAGTCACCTGTCCCTGCAGGCCAAGGACTGCCCTTTGGCACCTTCCCGTTGGTGATAAAAGGGGCCTCGAGTCCCAATGAGAGACCGGGGGGGGGGGGGGGGGGCAGCAGCACGGAGAATTTTAAAACCAGAGTTGCTCCAACTTCCAAGCCCTCACTGTGGCAGTCACCTGACATGGTGGCTTGTAGATGTATTGGGACTACAACTCCCATCCCAGCTCATCTGCAGCACCCTCAATGGCAATGCTGGATGGGAGTCATAGCCCACCTGGTCTTTACTTGCTCTGGCTGAAAAAAGCATTCAAACAATGAACGCTGCCACCTCTGGAGGTAGTTTGTGGGGGACTTTGTGTTGAATTGTCTCATGCAGCCATTTGAGTTCTTCTCTATTTGTATTGTGGTTGTGTGATCTGATGATCCTGGGCACCAGCTGAGGTATGGAATAAGCTCTGCAAGGCTGGCACTGAGGGGGGCAGAGGAAGGCCAGCTTCAAATCCCCCCCCTCCGCGATACACATCACTGGGTGACCCGGGAACTCCCCCATCCTACCTTGCAGGGCTGTTTTGAAGGCCCCGGTGAGGTTGTGGAGAGAAGGAAGGACAAAGGCATGGCACACCTATTCAAATGCTGCTCATGCCAGCCTGCCAGGGCCTTACGCTCACCCGCCTTAAGCCCGATTGCTCGACAGAGAGCCAAATATTATGGTCTGTGTTCAGGGGCATCACAACCCTGGTGCACAGGTGCCTAATCCAGCAAACTACACACCAAGCTTTGAACGGTTGCGTCTAACTTCCTTCCGGGTCCAAAGGATGCAAAATTACACAAAGCCAGTTCCCTTCGCACCCAAGACCCAGAGGCACTCTGCCCATGCTCCGAAGCACACGCCATTCCCCTCTCCACACCCTCCCATGCTCTGCCTCCCCCCTTCCTGTGAGTTGCTACTCAGGCCACTTGCAAATAATTTATGCTTAACCTTGAAAACCCCAAAGGGCTGCAACTCAATTAGCAGAGCTGACAGTTTGGGTGCTGGAATGAGTTAATCTGGAGAAGGGTCACCTTTCTGTAAATTATGGCAAATAAATAAAACCCCAAACGGGAAAGTTCACCAGCACCTTGCCTAAGGCGCCTAATAAGGCAGGCGGGCTCTTTGGGGGGCGGGGTGTGCGTGACCTCTCTTCCCTGCTTGCAAATGTCTCCATGAAACCCAGCTAATACATCCTGGGGAGGGGGGGGGGAGAAGATACCCTAACCGGGCGCCCCCCCCCCACATCACGAGCAAGCCCCGAGCCTGCTGGGGAACTAGGGGAGGGGAGAACAGAGGAGCGCATCCGGTTAATAATTAAATGTTAATCTAAAAAGCAATTTTAGCTGCAGCCCAGAAGATGTGGTTGAAGATTATATTAGCATGCAAGAGTCAAGGGTAATTTCCACTCACCCCTTGTGTGATCAGCCAGCTTCATGCCACACAGGCTGCTGATTAAAAGGGGGGACCCAACGGGGGAGGGAGGAACCGGCCAGTACATTTGGGGGGGGAACACAAGTTTTAACGCTTGTGAAAAGCTTGCATGAACTTTGGTTGCGACCCAAGTTTCTGGAGGCCCCTCTGTGCCAGCGCCACAATCTTTGCACACCTGGTCACCCCCAAAGGCATGGGGGTCCTCTTCCTCCCCCTCCTCAAACTTGGCAGGGCGAGGGGGGGGGCTCTCCAGGAATCAAGGGACAGACCCAGAGGCCAGGCAGGTGCTCCATCATTGATGCAGGTCTGTGTTTCTCAACCGGGGCAAGTTTTGAGATGTGTGGACGTCCACTCCTCTGCTGGCTGGGAATTCTGGGAGTGGAGGTCCACACACCTCAAAACTTGCCCCGGTTGAGAAACACAGACCCCCATAGTCCACTGCTCCCTCCTTGCCCCAGACTCTCCCTCTTCTCCCCACAAAATGCCTTTGCCAAATTTGTGGTATTTGGGCACATTCTATAACTTCTATGTCAGCACCATGGTGCTTGTGGCGATTTGCAACAAGGGTTCTTTAATTTTAGCT